CAAAAATAACAAAACAGGAAGGACGAAATGACCCCTCATGGCTCACTTAAAAATTCTACTGAGGGGCTGAAATGACCATCATGGCAGTCAACGTGTTAAAAAAAAAAAGTGAAAAAATTACAAAATTTACAGATTTTAAAAATCGTAATATTTTGTAAGATTTATGCCATTTACAGGAAACGAGAGATTTTTTTTTCCAATTTTTAAGGGCAATATCTTCAACTAGATACTAGATTTTTTGACGTATAATTGAAAGAAATCGGTCCAGTATGTGCTGATAAAAATGGCAACAGACAAAAAAAAAAAAGCACATCATAGTAAAATTAATACATTCTCAGCTTCGCATCGAAGCTAATAATTAATATTTGTAATAAAATGTAAAAATATAAATTATTGAAATATAATAATAAACCTAACGTATAACTGTTATTTAAAATTAAATCAGTAAAAATTATTAACTAGATCAAAAGTTATTTAAGTTGTCAGTGAATGCTGGACCAGTCTGTATAGATTAAAAATTGAGTTACAAAGATATTTTAAGTAAAAATATGAAATGTTATGGCTTGAATTATAGTTTATATTAAAACTGTATTAATTTTAAAATAATTATATTATGATATAATTATATTCATATCAAAAATTTATTTACATAAAACAATAAAACGTTCAAAATTTTACTATTAAAATTAAGATAACCTGTGACTTCACATATATATACTGATTTTTATAATTTTATTTTAACATAAAATTGTATTCTTATGTTACTTTATATATTTAGTATAAATTAATTGTTTAATAAAAACAAATATTTTAAATGAATTTAATGATTAACTGTCATTTAAAAATATTTTCAAAAATATCATATATTTTATTTATTTAAAAAAAAAAGGTATAAGTTTTTAATATTAGTAAAAAATTATTTGTCTACTTATAACATACATAAATATCAGTCAAACTGCATAAAAAAATTTTTTTTTTAATTTAAACTTATTTAAGAACCAATAGAAATACACCAAAGTTAATTATGATATCGAGGCCAAACATTTTTTACTTAAAATATTGAAACTAAAAATTTGTTGTCTTCAGTAAAAATCAAATTATTTTAATAAACTAATCATAATATTTGATCAAAAATTGAATAACAGTGGCCGTTTTTTGTTGTTTGGAGGTATTATCGGTTGAAATACTAAAAACCCAGCACATTGGGGTAGCGGCACAGTGGGGTCGTGGCATAGTTGGGTCCAGTATAGATGATATCTGACAGTGATTAAAATCACTATCATAAAAAACGCTTCGATGCAAATCTGTAGATAGTGTTTAATTTAAAAAAAAAATTTGTTAAAAAAAGTAGGTCTTATGAGAGCTGAGAAAATAAATGATAGCTACAAAAAAAAAACCACATAGTAAAATAATATTAATATGAATTTCTTCTCACGAGAGGAGACTACAGTAATGGAATCCTTGATATTTATTGAAGTTATTGAATCTAAATGAGATAAAAATCAAATGATTTGAAAATTTTATTCTAACTCAAAAAAAATGCAAAATTTTATTAGCCACAGACGGATTTGAACCTCGTATCCTAGGCATGTATAACAAAAGTGTTACCGACTCGGCAACTGTTCGTAGCTTTCGTGACATGAAAAAATTGGCTATTTAAGCTAATTCAAATTTAAAAATTATTTTTTCGACTTTAAAAAAGTAAAAAAATTTAATAAGTTTTATTTCTTATGTCTTATGAACTTTATTCTATGTCAATTAAATTATATAATATTCATGAAAGTCAATATATTCTCCTAATAAGATATTTTAAAATAAAATAAAATACAAAACCTAAAATTTTAATAGAAAAATAGCATATTTTTGAATACGGATTTTTTTCATTTTATAGTACATAAAATAAGCTTTAATTTGAAATATGTTTAAAGGACGCAGTCTTTCCGGAACATTTTAAAAATTAAGTTGAAAAAGTTAGTTTTTGTAAAAAAGTTGCTATTTTAAATCCCCCCCAATGAGCAGGTTAAGTGTTAGATTTTCAAAAAAATGATATCAAATGAAAGGAAAATATCTAAGGTTTTAGTATAAAAATAAAATTATGTTGATTTTTGAAAAAGTTATGGAAGTTTTAAGAAAAAAAAGTGAAAAAATTTCGAAAATTAGCGATTTTTAAATTTGTAATGTTTTTGGATATTTTCCCCATTTGCGGGGAACGAGGGAATTTTTTTCAATTTTTAAGGATAATGTCTCCAACTAGATACGATTTGTGATATTTTGACGTAATGTTGATAGAAATCGGTCCAGTGAGAGCTGAGAAAAAGTGGCAACAGACATAAAAAAAAAAAAAAACATCATAGTAAAATTAATACCTTCTCAGCTTCGCATCGAAGCTAAAACACGTCGAGCGACAAGTAAAATTTTTTTAAAAGTCTCAAATCTTCACAAAATGCCTATTTTGGATAATTGTACTCCCTATTTTTAAAAAATTGCCTCCTCGAAAAAAAATTAAATAAGATTTAAGTGTTATTAATTATAAACATTTTTATAACAGATTTTTGTAGATTTTAGCATTTATTCATAAAGTTCATTAAAAGATGGTATCTTCCATGTTCCAAAAAATTATATTCTAGCAACTAATGACTTATGGTAGATTGAAAGTTCAATATAAAACTGTTATAATTCACTAATGAAGATCAAAATAATCGAACTTTCTTTAAGCAAAATCGAATAGGAGCGTATTATAATTGCGATTTTAATCATAGTCAGATTTCTATCTATAAATTATCTCTTTGTCCGGTTCTCACTATGTGCGCTTCCCAATTGTATTGTATTTTTTTACGTTATATTTAATAATTAAAAAGTACGTACATATTATATAAATAAATAATACTTACATTCTAAATATAAATTTAAAGTAAAGAGTAGTAGTAGCTGTTATCATTGAAATATTTTAATTTTAAATTGATTTTATTGATGCTTTAAAGATTTTGTAAATATATTGATACCTTATCAATATCAAAATTAATTTTTAATTTTATGTTTTTGTGTGTCATTAATAAAATTTGGAAGAGACTTTACTTTTTAACTTTTGGGACTAAAGATATAAGTTGACATATTTTTGACATAAAACATTTAATCAATAAGTAATACTATTTTATTTTCTATTTTAAAATTATAAAATAATGTTGTGTTTTTGTTTAATTATATTGTATATGAAAATATTAGCTACAATCTCCCCTATACTAAAAACTATAAGGTATAAATTATTTTAAAATCGTCAAATTATTCATTACCCGCATGAAATAAACGATAGTTAACAGTTATCAAATGTTTTATACATTAAGCAGGTGTATTACAAGTATAAATAATTATCATAGTTTTGAACGTCAAAGGTCAAATATCACAAGTACACTTTAAAAAAAGAAATTGTGAATTAGTGACAGTTTACCTCTAGGGTACAGAGTAAACTAAATATTTTATATAAATTTCAAAATTAAAAAAAAAACATATGAATAATAAATAATGAGTTGAGCAAAAAAAGAGTCACTTCAAAAGATATCAAGTTACATATAACTCAACAAATAATTTAATCTTGTCTTAACCAACTTAACTTTTGAAAATGTTCCGGAAATACTGCATCTTTTAAAAATATGTCAAATTAAAGCTTATGTTTTGCATTATAAGTTAAAAAAAAAATTTGTCCCGACGACCTAACTTCTATGTGCAAATGGCACTCGAAATTGACTAAAAAATAGGAGTTAATTTTGCTTTTGGAATAATCCATGAATTTGATAAAATTGAACGCTATCTACAGATTTGAATCGAAGCGTTTCTTATGATAGTAATGTTAATCACTGTCAGATGTCATCTATACTTGTTCCAACTATGCAACATCCACACTGTAGCACGACCTCACTGTGCTACAGTTTAAAAAACATTATTTTTAAATAATTTAATTGAATTTTGCTAAGTTCTTTACTTTAGATTTTCATTTTTACAGTCAAATAATAATTATTGTTAATTTTACAGCAAATAATTATATTTTATTTTTGAATTTAATTGGTATAATAAATGAGCAAGCCTGGTAAAAATTTCAGATTTTAAATTGAAAAACACTGACAGTATTGAGTCTTTTAGCAAAAATGTTTAAACGCTGACGGAGTGTTAAAAAAAATAATTTTTATTTTCGTGAATAATTTTTTCAAAATAATATCACCAAGCTTTTTTTTGATAAAAAAAGTTTTTGTAAATTGGAGATCGTTAAAACATTTTTCCAGTATTGGCTAAATTCAATGTTTTATTTTATAATAAGATTTTTTCATTTAATTGGTATAATAATATTATTGAGTGACTTAGAACAATAGGTTTAAATAACAATAAGGTAAATACAATTTAACCTATGCTTTCGAACCTAAAAAAGTCTATTGCGCAATTAACCATTAAGAAAAATTATGAATCTTCAAGGGATATTTAACATCATTTAATCAATATTAATCAACTCCGAAATACCAATATATATTATCCATTCTACAATTTTATCCCTTTTACAAATTTATTAATCTTTCACTATTAAATTTATAATATTATTTTTGATATTAAATTATTTTCACATTTTTTTCTTTTCATATATTTTTTTCTTTTTATTTTATTACAGTTTTTGTGATATGAGGACAGCTAATGTGAGCGTATATGATGTGGAAGTTTAGGATAAGAGTGGCCGACCCCAAGTAGTTGGGATTAAGGCAAAGAAGAAGAAAAAGATTTTATTACAATTCCTCTCAATAAAAGATCACAAACCAATCATTTTTTTTTTTTATTCGTTAAACTGTGTGCATTATCATACATGTTTTAATGAATATGAAGACTGTAGAACTAACCTAAATTACTAAATTATGATTGCATTATTTTATATGTAGTACATTAGCTTTTATTGAAACTATCAATTTTAAAAGTAATTCGAAGTATTAAATTATACTAAATAAGTTTTGAAAATATTTTATTACCACATAGTGATGTTATAGAACCACTTTCTTCATGTACAAACTTTCGTGTTACAGCTTCTTCCATAATTTGCTTAACCTAAAATATATAAACTTTTAACAAATAATAAATTACAGGGACTAAAACTGAACCGAAAAAAACAGAATTCTTAAAAAATCAATAAACGATAAACTACCCCAATACAAGTCCGCGGAACCCTTTAAAACTGAAACCTAATAAAAATATAAGTTAAGGTTTCAGTTCCAATAGTTCTAAACATATATGATTATAATTGAACATGGTTGTTCATTTATTTATTTATAATTAGCTCGATACAAAGAATTAGTAGTTATATAAAATGATCATAAACATTTAAATACAATACAACATGATATAATATATTAAAAAACATAAATGACATTTTATTAATAATAATTATAAAAAAATTATTAAATCCAGACTGTTTAAGTAGAATTTAAAACTTACAATTGATTTAATACTATCGCGTTCATATGTAATCACTGATATGTATTCATTAGTAATGGCGTAGCTAGGATTTAACATTGGGGGGATAAAAGAGTAACAAATCTACAAATTTCTATGTTTTGAATCTTTTTATTTTTATATTTTTATATTTTTATATTAGAGATGAATATTGGTGTCAATGGGAGTCTCTGCTCAATAGTTATTTTTGGTATGCTTTTTAAAAAAATAAAAGAAGTTTTATGTAAATTTAAAGTAACGTTTGCAATTTGCAAAATTGCAAATATAGAAATTATTTTGAAATTTAACAGATTCTAATAGAATATTTTATGAAAGTCATATTAATTATCTTCAGATATCATCTATACTTATCTCAACTATGCTGTGTCCCCATTATGCTGGTTTTTTTATTTTATAAGTTTATTTAACCTTACCAATGAAGATGTGTTTTTCTTTTTCTAAATATTTAGAACATTTATTAGCCTAAACTTTCTAGAACCCGTTAATGACAGTTTTAGTATCTTTAATTTTTTTTAAACTGGAATTTGAATTGAACAAGAACTGAACTAGAACACGAATCGTTATTTTATAATCGTTCTAGTCCCAGGTAAATTATTATTAAGAAATGTGTATTTTCAATGGATGAAGGTTTTAAAATATTACATTACTAAACCAGATTTTTAATGATAAGATTTCAAATTATTTCTAGAAATTGAACATTGTACTTAATATAAACTTAATAAAAATGAAAAGGTATTTATTAACTATTAGGACCCTAAGCTTTTCCATGAAACTATTTGTAGTTTCATTATATTAATATGAAATACATATTGATTTTATATATATTAAATGTTCAATATGTTAAGAGAACTAAAGATATCCTTGGCTTACCAGTAGCATATTTAAAAAGGGAAACAAGGACACATATTCGCGCCCTATTGGCAATGTTATACTGATATAATAATATTTGTTGACTTTTTATATAGTTTTGCTCTTGATCTTAGTAAAAAAAATGATCGCAAAATTTTCATAGTAGCTTGTCAATTAAAAATTTTTTTAAGTGCCTCCACGTCCATATGAATTTTTAATACACTTCAAATTCTCACCCATCGGAAATCAGTAAATTAGTATTAATATTAAACGAGATCGAAAATAAGTTTATCAGTATTTATACTAATTTAGAATCATTAATATTTTTAAATATTAATATAATAATATAATTACATATCGTAATATTTCACTTATATGATTCTTGTATTACCCTATATCTCATTTGTATATTAATATTGTATTTTGCGTTACAACTAAATGAGTAGTACGTAAACACACATTTATTCATAATATAATATAAGAGAATTGATGAATAGTTAAGAAACAAATAGTAAATCGACATCAAAAATAAGAATAATAGTTATATGAATCACTTTATAATTACAACATTGTGTAGGTTTCACTGAACCTATATTTATAATATATAAAATTAATTTTGTTATCACACAATTTCCAAACTCGTTAAGCAACAAATACAACAATATTGTATGATATACCCCTCCTATATACATTTAAAAAATTATAATAAACGATACAGTTGTTCAAATAAGTTAGTTGCAGATAATTTATTTTACACTAGTTGTTTATAATTGCATTTTACTTTGTAAAATTCTTATTGTTTCAACTTCGATATTTTGATATAAACAAATTATGATAAAAAAACTTTCTTACAATTCATACAATTAAATTAGTTTATATTTAAGCTTTGAGTGAATTGAATTTTTTTTAAATGTAATATTTATTTTTATTTTTAAGTAAAAACCGTTCAATTATGAGTTCGATATGAATATAAAAACATCCATAACTATGTTCACTAGCATTCTATGCATTAAGTTTATTTATTCAACTTTATGAATGCTAGAAAATAAGTTGTATAGTTAAAAATGAGTTTACTTTTTTCTCTACCAGTGGTTGTAGTCAAAATTTTTATTTGGAAAAGGCTAAGAACCTTTTACTTGTTTTTAGTTTGTCACATGGTTTTACTAGCAGTAAAGTCTTATACTGAAAATAGTAATAACTGGCCCATGAGAAGGAGGGAACTATATGTCCTTAAGACCTACCTTGGCTACGCCTCTTTTCTTTACTAATTTCTAATCTCACTAAGTTTTCTTTTATGAGGTATTTATAATAATAAACTAAGTAAAAGTTTTATTTAGGTATTTTAATTGAAGTTTCTAATAAATTAAAATGATCGAAGATAATTTCCATCTTCTTTGTTAAATTTAATTTTATCGTAACATTTTTACTTTTTTAAATTTTACAAATGATTATTAAAAGCTTCATTAAATTAACAAAAAGGATGTCACACCTCATTTATGTCAATTTTAAATAATATTTATTGGGCTATTTTGTTTATTTACAAAATCAAATAAAAAGTTATGGAATTACTCTCAAAATGATATTATATATTGATATACGACATAAAAAGAGAAAAATTAGAATAAAAAGATCCTATTTGGGTAAAATTAAGAATGTCTTTATTTTCTATAAGAGTTTGAAAATTCTTATACATCTTACCAATCTTATAGTAAGAATTATCCTAAATATTTTAAATAACCTATTCGAAATACAGAAAAGCGTAATTATGAAGATATAGAAGTCATTTCAATAAAATGTTTGGAAGATCTAACTTCATTTTTACCCTCCTTAAAAATATTTATATTTAAAAATATATGCAATATTCATAAATTTTTGGCTCTAAATTTTTCTTAATATTCTTTAAATTACGCCTATACTTGAAATAAATGTAAAAGCTTTGAATTGTTCACTTTGCTACTAAATTGCGATACTAAAAAAATAAATAAATCGAGGAGACTAACTTAAGCAGTTGCAAGGAAGCAATAACAATAAATAATTACAATATTTTAATTATAACATTTTTCAAATGGGAGTATAAGATCTAATCAAAAAACGTTTATAAAGAATAGATAATTAATTCATTGAAATCACTAAAATTCTTAAATTAAATCTCTTTGAAAAATTATTTTCTCGGAATATAAAAGAAATTATTATTTATTTAAAAGTTAAGAATTGAAGTTTCTGATCTTTATATATATATTTTTTTTTTCTGAATGTCTTCTTTAAAATTCTCGTGAAATATATCATCAACTTTATTACAAATATATTTAAATTTGTTTATATTATTATTTTTTTACTCTGGTAATGGTAATGCTCGAAAAAGGGAGAAGAAAGTAGTAAGATCTTATAATTTTCTCGAAATTTAATATAAAAATTTTAAGTATGCTTTTTTTTAAAAACTAGCATGAAATAATAATGCTAAAAATTAACTCACAGTTATCCTATCTATTTATATTTACCTTAAATGATCATACATTGCATACGAAATAATGAAAATTAATATGCTGAATTGATCATAGGTCTATCAACAAAAATAATTTTCCTCTCAAAAATTTTTAAGGCGATATCCCTATCTAATGATCAGTATTAAAACTATATTATAATATATCTCACCTCTTTTTTTACATTTTTAATAAGTTGTTCCTTGAATTTTTTACCTGTAAAACAAATAAATACGTATCCATATGTTAGTTATTATATCTATATAATACAAAACTCTGTTCCTTGTTTCAACTTAGACATATTACATACTTGTATTAGTATCCATTGTAATGTAGTGCATATTATAGTTAGTTATTGCAAATAACTTTTATGATCAACAAGTAATGAATAAAATTATGGACAAGTCATATCATCAAAAATAAAATAACTTTCGTCGAACGTATTATGATACGAGAAAATAGAGGACATTTCAATGGCTTAATTAAAAATGTTATAAGTACCTTACATAGAGAAAAAATTGTTTTGATAAAATCAAAGTAAAACTTTCCCTATTGTTAAATAAAATATAATACTAATCCTATCGATTTTCATTAAAAAGTTTTAGTATAACACACATTCGAAGCGCTCCACGAGAGAAATAGTACTAACGAGAAACGAAGTTGTGTACTGATCGCTGGTCGTTAATATCACTCCGTAGTGCGCTGTTTAGCAGTGAGGTTAAAAGAAAATCTGTATCTGCCTAAGTCACAACATTAAGGTACTACGTGAAAAATAAAGCAGCATAATGATAACAAAATTACTGCCAAGAAACAGCTGATACAGTCCCTAAACTTTTACTCCTCAACCTCAACCTTAAATGAAGAACTTCTAGAAAAATATGGGTTGATTCTTGGGTAATTTTTAACATTTGAACTGCTATCTAGCGATCAAGCAGATATTTAAATTAAATAAAAAGACATAAAATAATAATAAACCACAGAAACAATATAAAAATGTCAATAATTTAAAAAATAATTATTTTTCAATTTTTAGTTGCACATTTAGAGATTGGGTAATTTATATACTTAAAATAAAAACATGTAGCTATAGTTAAAAGACAAGCATTATATTATATAATTCAAAATAAAATAGATAATATGGTATCACTGTAAAATGTCCAACAACAGTGACCGCTATCTGTATTTTGAGGTTGGTTTTATATAATCTTAAATTTGTTGTTTTTTTATTTAATAAATATTTAGGTTTTTTATCTACCATTAAAATTAATTACTGTATTGAGTTTTATTAAGATTTCAAATTTTCAATGAATTATTGCGTATTTTTAATGATGGTGATACATTTTACGATATGTTATGAAAAAATTTTAATTATTTAATTCACATTTTCTTTTTGCGGCTACAATAATGTTTCTTTTTCACTTTTGTATGTTAATTATTTCTAATATTTCATAACTTATATACTGGGAAATAGAGACATAGACTATTATGCTTTATAAATTTTAAGTTAGTTTTAAAATTGTCATCTTAGCTTATAAATTAAGTTAATTTAAAAAATGACATCCTCTGAAGATGTTCTGCTTCAAGTTGGGCCTGTTCGTCATAAGAAAGGTGATGGAACATTGTATGTAATGAGTCAACATGTTGCATTTATTCTAAATTCTAGTGACACTGTTGCCATCAGTCATCATTACAGAGATATCAAAATGCAAAAAATCTCTTCTGAATTCAAGAATAAAGTTCAATTGCAATTAGTATTTCATGATGAAACTATTTCATTATTTCAATTTACTAACCCAGAAAGGTAAGTGTGTAAAATTGTTTAATTTTAATTTTATCATTTGAAGTATGTAGATGTTTAAATCTAAATGGGAATATAAATATTCTAGAATAATATATAAAAGTAACATTTAAAGTTATTAACTCTTAGTAATTTTAATAATTCACTCTTAAACATTTTACGAGGTATGAATAATATGTAAATTTTATAATGTTTAAACAGCTTATAGATGCTTAATTCTTAAATTTTTTTAATGCTATTAAATATTTTAACCAATTATTTTAGAATTAATTTTTAATTATTTTTCTATTCTGTCTTTATACTTAAAAACTATAAAAGTTATGAGAAAAATATAATTTACTTAACTATAAGCATATAAGCACTATTATTTTAGTAGATTTTACTCGATATGAAATGTATAGTTAGGTAAAATCAGGTTGGTACCTTTATAAGATTTGATAATTGAAAAATAGTCTTAAGTCTATAGTAACTAAAGAAATACTGTAGTTTGTTTAAGAATTTTGTAATTTGGATTTTAGTTATTCTCCACTTTCTTCATTTTTTTTTTTATACTGTTTTCATCACAAAACTGAGAATATTACTAATATTGTAATCTGTATGTTTTACATACGAATTTCTTTAAAACGTTAAACAAAAATATACTTAAAAACAGTGCAATAATTTTTAGTTTACGTAACTGTTAAAAACTATTTTTTAATTAACATTGTGTTATGATATATCCTTTGATATATTTTTATGAATAGTATCTAAAAGTTTTTTGTATCGTATTCAAATAGATTAATTTGTAAACTTTTTCTTTAATAAAGATAATATAGGTATTATTTCTTTATATTTCACTTAAATTTCCATCATCTATCCTGAAAATAACAACTTAGTTAAAAAATTGTATAGGTCATGTAGAGGTGCTTCAACTAGTGCCTCTGAACCTGGGTACAATCTTAATCAGTTTTGATATCCCTACCCATTTATATGTATATATATTATTTATTAAAAGTTATTATAATATTTCAATATTATTTTTTATAGGAGTGAAGCAATGAGGGATAGAAATAGAGTTAAAGATTTAATACTTAAGCTGTTGCCTAAGTATCAAAAACAAGCAAATAAAGAATTTGGTGAAAAAAATCGTATACTTAGTGATAATCGCATGTTGTATCAACTGTATCAAGATCTAGTCATAACTCATGTTATTTCATCTGAAGAATTTTGGTCACAACATGTTCCTTACCATTTAGCTACACAGTCTAAGATAACAAGTCAAAAAACTGGAGTACCAAATAATTTTCTTACAAATGTTACTGTAAAAAATGATGGCACAAAAAAATTTAATTTATCAAATGAGACAATTCAGTATATCTTTAAAACTTACCCAGCTGTACGTCAGAAACATATTGAATATGTTCCTCATCAATTAACAGAATCAGAATTCTGGCAAAAGTTCCTAGAATCACACTATTTCCATAAAGATCGTATAACTTCAGGAAGTACAAAAGATTTATTTAATGATTGTGCTAAATTAGATGATAATTTGTTTAAAAATGAGATTAAAGATTTATCAAAAACAAATTCCAATTGTTATGTTGGATTAATTGAAGACGATGGCATAGATGATAATATTAATTCTACTTTAGAAGAAAAATCTTCAATGGCTAATCTTGTTCATGACAACATAATTAAAAGATTTAATCAACATTCTATGATGGTTCTTAAAACTTGTGAAAAATCTAATACTAACTCAAGTGAATTAAAAGTCTCGCAAAATAATTCACAAATAAATGGTACATCAGAGATAGCACTTAAAAGATTACGGATTAAAGAAAAAATTGGTTTTGAAGATCTGAGACCGGAAATTACTACAGATGATTTTAATCAAAAACGATTAAAACTTTCTAGAGTAGAGAGTTACGTAAATTGTTTAACTAGAGAACAAAAAAATGAAAATATTGTTGCTAAGCTTTCTCAAGCTAGAGATATACAAAAAACTATTTTGTATGATGTTTATGATTGGAGTAAAACTATATCAAATCAGGTAATTGAACCATCTGTAGCTGTTAATACACTTGGTTTACTTACTCCTGGAGGAAGTTTAATGAAAGGAATTAGTGATGAGTCTGCTTCATTAGCACAATTAGTACCAAATGCTGTAGAAAAAGATTTACGCCAATTATATATATCATTAAGTGAACTTTTACGACATTTTTGGTCTTGTTTTCCAGTGACTACACCTGCACTAGAAGAAAAATTAATAAAAACCCATGAATCATTACATAAATTTCAAAATGCTAAAATAAAACCTTTTGAAGATCAAATTATAATCAATCATGGTCAATTAAATCAACTAACGAATCATTTAAATTTAATGCTTCATACTGCTTATAATAAATTTTCTGTGTGGCATTCTAGAAGAAAATTACCAAACATTTTTTGACATGTGGTTATATTACTTGTATATCTTAATCATAAATTTTGAAAGTTACAATGAAACTTTGAAGTTATTAAATCCTGTAAAATTTGAGTATTTGTTTTTTACCATTTTCAACTTGTACCATTTATTTAAATAATTTAACAAAAAAATAAATGTTAATGGCCCATAGCATATTTTTTCAGAGTATTGTAATAAAAGAGGGTTAATAAACGTTAGTTACATTATAAACTGAAGCTTTATTATTATCAATCAGTTGTGTAGTAACTTTTTTTTCAATAAAAACATATTTTCGAATTCTTATGAAATATTATTCTGACTAAATGAAACATTTAGCATTACTTAAGTGTTTATTTTGTTAATATAATATTTTTTTATTACATATTATATTTTGTTAAATCAAATTGTTACAATAAAAATGAAATACTTGTATTTATTACATACAATATAGTAACTTAATATAGATAGTTGCTGCATATTTTCTATATTTACTAATATTTAATTTTATTCAATTAGCAATGATTTTTCAAACATTTGAAAATATAGGTGGAAGGAAAAGTACGACCGGTAAATGATAAACAATAAAACACCCGCGTCTAGCTCCAGCCTTCATTATAAAACATTATTAACTTCTAAAATATTGTCGCAGTAATTTTTAACGACTAGTCATTTTCTAAATTAGATCATTATCTACAAAATAAACTAATTTATTATGTATATTGTTATTTAAAAAAATATAGTTGACATCCCTATAAGATAAAAGGAACGAACCTAAAAATTATTTTATAACAGATAAATCGATACATATATAACTAAAAGAAACCAATAAATAAATGTAGTTTAAAAAAACACGCTTTTAAAGCACATCGAACTAAAAAGTTAAAAATAATTTTTTAAATAATTATGAATAAAAAATACTAATATTGTGATAAAAGCATCGGGCGCTCAATATACGAAAAATATGGCACAAAGTACCCACGCTTTTATCACAATAATATTAGTATTTTTTGTTCATAATTATTTTTAACTTTTTAGTTCGATGTGCTTTAAAAGCGTGTTTTTTAGTTTCTTTAAACTTATTTATTTTTCACTTTTTAGTTTCATGTTATGATAGTAGTTACTATCAATATCATGGTTGTAACGGGTAACGGGAAATCAGGGTTCGATTCCGGGGAGGGTGTCTGAGAAACGGCTGCCACATCCAAGGAAAGCAGCAGGCGCGTAATTTACCCACTCCCGGACATGGAAGTAGTGACGAAAAATGACGATACTGGATTCATCCTTTGTAATCGGAATGAATGAGTTCTATATCTCTAAATAAGAATAAAGTGTGTTAATATATATTTTTAATAGTAATTAGAATATATATATATATATACATGTAAAGCGACTTAAGTACGTAAACGTATCATGCATTAGGTAAAGTCGTGTTTTGTGGGCGGGCGGGTAGGACTAACGTTATACCTGAGGTATAAACGGGGGTAGGAATATATACGTAAGCCGTATGCACTCGGATGATAATGGTCAGTCAAAATAAAAATTTGTTTATATATATATAATATTGATGACACGCACGTGTGTACGGGTACGATAACCAAAAATAAATTTATACAGGAATAGTATTGCTGGCGTGTAATGAGCGAGGCGTGGGGTGGGGTGAATGCGTTATGACAGTCTAGTCTAGACGACGGAATATGCGATAACGCGTGGCGTTTGGAGAGTTACAAACATACATACATACATACAGGTGAAACTAATATAAGCGTGTTAAAATAATTGTTACTATTATTTTTATTATTCGATTAATTAAGTGGTTCATGATAAAAGAATCGCTCTATAATATACACTGAGCATTATGTACATATTTTATGGAATTTACACTTGACGATGAAAAATTTTTATAATCCAATTAAGAAAATGAATGGTCGATAATAAATGTTTGATTCATATTTCAGAAGTTTTTAACACTTTTATACCTAGACAGAGAGAAGAGGACGAACGGGAAATGTCTAGTCTGAACTTTTTAGACCAACAGGTTTAAAAAGGTTGGATGTGGGTTAAAATTTCTCCCTTTGGATGTTTGGGGATTTATGCACTTATCTCACTATTATCCCACGGGAGCTCTAGTCGGTTATTGAAGTCAACGAGCGTAGGTGACCTTAAATTCATTATGACTATGAAATAGGCGTTCACTAAAGTGAATTTTACTAGTGTTTCTATAATAACTTATACTTATAAGATAAGTAAACTAAACAAGTTTTGTTTTTTTTTTAAACTTTTATTATAAATATAAATTCAGACATCTAGACAGAACATTTGTCCCGAGTACAACCTGTTGGTGCGGTTGTAGAAGTAGGTTTAAGAAATATAGCATATTTTTTTTAAAAAGATTGAAATAGATGACCGTGTTCTGGGGACAATCAATTATCTAAAGTTTATTCTAGTAACACAACCGTTCTCAACCCGGTTTACTTTACACGCATTATGAAACCAATGTTCAAGGTGCATTCATGTAATGAATATAGGAATTGCCACGAATTGATAATATTCTGACATTCATATACTCTGATATTGCAAAAAGTTCCTCTGAATACATTTACTCGGACAACAGTTACTGCAAATACCTGATTACAAACATTTGGATATTACTGCGATAATAATTACTCCGAATAGGATAATTATGATTGTTCTAAATAAAATTTACTCCAAAAATCAATAATTTAAGTAATCGATTAATAAAATTATCACATTTAAAATGTGAGAAATATCGTATCAATATAAATAATTAATATAAAATAGTGCTATAATTGTTTACTTTCTAGTAATAAATGATAATTACAATAAAGGTCCTTCTAGTGTGTCCGAATTTCGGAACAATAGGTATTTTAGAGTAATGAAGAGTGTTTTAAACTAAAAAACTCAGTTATAGCGATTCCAATTATGGGACTTGAAATCTTTTTTTCCTCTCTTTATTAGCGCCTATTATTATAACCTCTATCTTTTAATTAATTTTCGTGTTCTCATTTTTTAATAGGTAAAAAATATAGGAGATACGTGATTCGGTATTCTCTAAAACTATCATTCCAATTAGTTTTACATGAAATCAAACAAAAATATATGGCTTAGTATCATTTCATTGTGTAAAGGTTATGTCGATGAAATTAATTGAATTCAGTCTGAATTATCTTATGATTGGTCGCAAGTCAGAGACTTGAGTGGGGTCTTAGTCTCCTAAAATTCTGTCATAGCTCCCCGAAAATAAAATAATTTGTATTTCTCTTTATATAAAAATAATTTTTGAAGAATGTAAAAAATGATGTAATTAGAGCTCCCAAATATTTTGTTGCAATACGCCTACACTTTAGTCAATTGTGAGCACAAGACAGTTATAGGATAACAGTAGCTATAGCTTATGATTATTCATAAACTTATTTAACTATTTTGTTAAAGTAATTAGATTTAAACTTAACGTTAGTTAAAAATATACAGTCGATTCAGTAAAAAATGGTTGAAATATTCATTTGTATGAGGATTACCTGAAGTTTTGTCAGTTCTAAGTATAAAGTTAAATATAATATTTATATAATATACTATAAGTATAATATATAAGTTAAATATAATAAAGTTTTAATTTAGAATAATAATTGGTAATCAAATAAGTATTCATTTTTTCTTGTAAAATCAAAATAAAATAAAATAATGTAATATTGAAACAGTACGACTTTTTTTATAAGATATATATAAAAAAACGGTAGCACAGTGGGGTCGAGGCACAGTGTGGACGAGGCATAGATGGGACAAGTATAGATGATATCTGACAGTGATTAAAATCACTATCATAAGAAACGCTTCGATGCAAATCTGTAGATAGTGTTTCCTTTAGAGAAATTGGTGAANAATCTTTATTCTATGTCAATTAAATTATATAATATTCATGAAAGTCAATATATTCTCCTAATAAGATATTTTAAAATAAAATAAAATACAAAACCTAGAATTTTAATAGAAAAACAGCAAATTTTTGAATACGGTAGTCATTTGCGCATAGAAGATAGGTCGTCGGGACAAATTTTTTTTTTCATTTTATAGCACATAAAATATGCTTTAATTTGATATATGTTTAAAGGATGTAGTATTTCCGGAACATTTTCAAAAATTAAGTTGAACAAGTTAGTTTTTGTAAAAAAGTTGCTATTTTAAATTCCCCCCAATGAGCAGGTTAAGTGTTAAATTTTCAAAAAAATGATATCAAATGAAAGGAAAATATCTAAGGTTTTAGTATAAAAAAAAATTATGTTGATTTGTTTATTTTTGAAAAAGTTATGGAAGTTTTAAGAAAAAAAAAGTGAAAAAAATGACAAAATTTACCGATTTTTAAATTTGTAATTTTTTTTGGATATTTCCCCCATTTGCGGGGAACGAGGGACAATTTTTCAATTTTTAAGGGTAATGTCTTCAACTAGATACGATTTGTGATCTTTTGACGTATTGTTGAAAGAAATCGGTCCAGTGAGAGCTTAGAAAAAGTGGCAAAAAAAAAAAAAAAAAAAAAAAAAAACACATCATAGTAAAATTAATACCTTCTCCGCTTCGCATCGAAGCTAAAAAAAATTGACTATCGATAATGTCGGAATATTCACCATGTTTTATTTTTTATTAAAATGTCGAAGTATATAAATATTGATGTATGATCAGTTCGTGGGAAAGTTGATTTCTTAATGATTCCTCCTTGCTTATCATGATTACTGGAATTCAGAGTAGTATCACAGATAAGCTAAAGTTTTATCTTATCTGTGGTAGTACATAATAAGTAGTTTACAGAAATATGAACATAATCGAAATAGTCTGTCGTTAAAACATTAATAAAATTAAGATGTTTTAGTACAATTACTTTAAATTTAACTTCTCAATCTTATAGGTCAATGACTTATTATTTTAAGTGACATTCAAATCTATCGACTGCTATGTTATTTTTATGATTTAAAAATTAAGTAGTTGTTTTTTCAAAGATAAAACCTAATATTGGAAGTTTATGTAAGAATTTTTATAATAGTTCTTAACATTCTTTACTTCTTTTATTGATTTTATTTCAAATGGCCGAAAAAGCTGCTCATCATACTACAACTGTTGTAACATGTCCATCAATTTTTGAAGTTATTGCTCAAGAAAGTTTATCAGCTACTATTTATCCAGCACTAAAAAAACTGGTTGATGTAAGAAATTAAATTTATTGTTGGTCAATTTAGAAAATTAACATATTTTATTAATTTATACTTTTAGTATATAAATCTTAAGAATTCAAACAAATGTATTTGGTTAGTTCAGTACTTCGATGAAGTTTACTTAATCTTCAATAGTTTATGTCAATTATATTATTTAAAAACATATGGTAATTTTAATAAAATCTAAACTACATGTTACAAATTAAAAATAATAATATATTTTGTTTTTTTTTATAGGAGGAACATTTTCAGAGAATTTTTATGATTTAACTAGAGTTAGGCAACCTAGCAACTTGAGATCCGCTCAAAAGCAACTTTTATTCAATTTAGCATTGACTGTTTGTGTTCCTTATTTACGGATTAAATTGGAAACTTATATTACCAACTCGAAAACAAAGCATAATACTCAGCTTTTAGATGTATAAATTATTACTAGGCCTATGATTTATATGCATTTATAAATATTTGATCCAATTTGAAGGGTCCCAAGTTAGTGCAACTTCATTATAGGATAGAAATATTTTTCAATTTAACCCTTTAGCAGGCGTGTGCCTATTTTTAACGTTTATAGTCGCGTGAGGGTCTATCAGACCCCATTTCTAGAAAAGTATAAAATATGTATAAAAAAGTTCATTTTTTTAAATTCAAAGACATTATTTGTTACCATATGAAATATAAATATGGATGAAAATTCAAAAATAAAAATTAAAAAATAAATAAATTACAAAATTATGTGCATTACTAAAAATTATATTACAAAAAAAACTTAATTTTCAAAATTTCATTAAAAAATTTTGGTTTGTAAAAAAATTATTTTAACTGCAAAATCTTATTTTTAAATAAGACGGTAAACAAAAGCTTTTAATATTACAAAATGTATTTTAATAAATTTTTCTTGTATTTCTTTGAGCTCAAACACTGCTTATATTTATTAGTTTTAAGTGTATTTGCATTTATATAATCATTTTTCTGAATTGAATTTCTTTATTATTAATATTACAATACATTTAATTATTATGATACGAGTATATACACTTATTCGTTCGTAGTAGCACATCGAATACCGATAATCAATGTGTCCACATTGCGACGTGATGTATTTATTATGTTTTGTTCTTATTTGTTCCGTATCATCGAGTAGTGGAAATTCTATATAGATTATTTATTTTTAAAACTTAATTGCACAGTCGGTGGCAGATTCACATAATTCCAATTCCACAATATTATATCGATTATAACATTGCATTTACGATAAAACAATATTTTGAAAAAAATAAAAGTCCAAAAAAAAATTATAACCTTACAAGTCGCGTGGGGTTCAATATGACCCATCTCAATTTTGATGGATATTTTAAGTCATACATTTTTTTTTCGAAGGTATTTATTTATGAAAGTCGATTTGACCTTTTATGCAATATAATGCATCCGTTTTTATTTATGTGGGGGTATGCTAGACTCCCACGCGACTGTTTAAGGGTTAACATAAATTAATCTCCATAATCATCCCTAAAACTATAATATTGGTAAAAACATATTACTAAGTTTTCAAGTCAATTAATAAAATTTTTGATGATGTGTAAAGAATAACTTAACAAAATGTATAAATGCATATAGTTCATAGCTCTGGAAATTAAATTGATTTATTTAAATTTAAATTTCCTAAATATCCTAACTAATAAAATGATAACAATTAAATAAAAAAATGTTACTAGAGAAGATTTAGTAATTTTTTACAAAAGAGCATTATATTTTCAAAAAATGTTAACTCAAATTAATTATTAAATCATATTAATAAATTTCTTATTTTTATAAGTTGCATTTTCTTTATCTGTCAAACAACAGTGGTGCCTGCCTCATTTATCTCCCCTAAATATGTCTCAGAATATCCACTTGGCTTATATTTACATTATATGTATTTTTTTTTTCAGAAATATATTATTATTTTAAATAAAATTGTATATACTACTTGGGAATTATTATGTTTGATATATTATTTAAAATATTTAACTGGTATTAGCCAAACACATTCTCCTTTATTTGATGTGGCAGGAATTAAATTAACTTATAAAAATTATGCATCAAGAAAAAATGATACAATTCATCAATTAAGGTAAATTTGATTAATTTTTTTCTTTAATTATAATTAAGACTACTAAGTTGGGTTAATTTAAATATCTTGTGTATTATAATTTAATCATAGAACTTTTTAAACATTTCTTTTTTATATGAAATAAATGGAATATCCATTTTTTTTTTCTTGATTTTCTCTGGCTAATGATATTTTATTAACAAGAATAGTTACATAAATCAGTAAAACAAATATTAAAAAAGAGGCAAATTAAGTATACTATTGTATAATAATCTATTTAATGTTTGACTTTCTTTAAATACTATTATTTTTAAATGTATAAAAATTTAACAATATAATTAATGTTTATGCAAAATCAAGAAAACATAAACTTTTAATTTATTACCAATTGGGTACTTATTTAGTTTAAGTAGTCTTGGGTATCTAAATATTTCTTGACACATTTTTTAAATTATGTAATAATTATAATATTAAACTGTGTTGAGGGTAAAATTTTCTTTTAAATCCTTCCTTCAAAATGAAAATCTTGGTTCCAACTTTGTTGTTAATTGACAATATGTATATATCTTTAAAATAAAACATTAAAAATAGCATAACTATTTTTAAGATTTATAAGATTACTTAATACTATGAATTAATTTCAGAATTATAATTAGTTAATTTATTTTTAGTATTCGAGAATGTATAAAAAGCTATTTGCACTATGGGATATCGCATTCACTGGAATTGAGTGCATTTTTCTTGCAATTTTTAAATTGGTGGCATTCAGAAAATTTACAATCAAAATTTATTGCATACCCTATACCATATCCTCCAAAAGTATGTTAAATTAATTTATAAAATTAAAATTTTTTTAACCTAGCTAAAGTTGATATTACCACCTCCTGAAATATAGTGCTGTATTCGTAAAATAACTATTAAGTGTATGCTATAAGTATACTAAGGTATGTATTTTAAAAGAGTAATATTAATTAAAAAAATATGAGAAGTTATGAAAAAGTAAGTTGCATTATGAGGTAACTTTTTATAATGTAGGAATTATTTTGTACTACACTTTTTCTTTATATCTATCATATATATGACCATAAAATTATCTTAAATTAAATATTAACTTAAATTTTATAAAAAAAAAATCTATCATGATTCCAGGGGTTGCTAAAATTGTATAAGGCTCATAATGTCTTGGGGGCTCTACCCTCACACTCTCCAATCCACTACATTAATGCAAACAGCTGTATAATTATATAATGTGTAATAACAATATTAATAATGACAGTTGTTTATAGAAGACTGTATGACTGAGCTAACGATTGTGTTTACAATGGTTTAGTATTAAAATTTCTCAGTATACTCAAATTAACAATTTTGTTTGTTACAACAGTTGTATAATCTCAAAATTATGAAAAATAAGAAAAAAAAATTGATATTAAATTGGTATTAATAAAATTACTTAACTTAAGCTATAGTTATTAAAACTTAGGGAAGATACTAGAGCCTAGAGGTACTAGAGTCAAGACTGAGGTGCTTTAGGACCCCAAGTAGTTGCGATATTTTCTCTTTACAATCACAAAAAATGGATCTATTCAATTAGGTTTTTATTGTTGGAAAATGTTAAATGTTTAAAATCTGATTGAAGTAAACAGAGATTATGGTGAAAAGGTTTTTATAGTACCATTTTATTGATAATTGGTGAAGTTTTAAAAAATAGATGGATAAATAATACCAATTAGTAAAAAAATTTCCACATCAAAAAACATCTGACAAAATTTATTTTTACATTTAAAATGTAATACATTTTTTTTTTTTCTTAAAATTAATAAGCAAGATTAGAATAGTAATATTTATAATTACAATAAATTTAAAAAATTTTATTGTTGATAAACCTCTTATTTGGATAATGCTGCAATAGTTTTTAATGATCTCTAAAAGAGAAAAAAAAAACCCAGCACAGTGGGGTCGCGGCATAGTGAGGACGTTGTATAGTTGAGACCAGTATAGATTTTATCTGACAGTGATTAAAATCACTATCATAAGAAACGCTTTGATGCAAATCTGTAGACAGTGTTTAATTCTAAGAAATTGATGGATAATTACAAAAGCAACATCAACTTCTATTTTCTTAATTATACCCAGATTAGTAATTCTTTTAATTATATATTATATAATTTTTAAAATTAATTGTTTTCAAATTATTATTGATTTTGATTTTTAATATGTTAAAAGTAATCATTTTGAACCTACTTTTTTTTGTCTTTGTCAGGAAAAAGCTGGTTAAGCTACTTTTTATTTGAATAAGGAATATTTTTTCGATTTTTAAAAGTAATAACTTAATCTAAATACGAATTGTAATCATTTGACGTATCGTTGAAAAAAGTAGGTCTAGTGAGGGTTGGCAAAATAAATCGTAGCCACAAAAAAAAAAACCACATAATAAAATAATATTAACATCTTCTTCTTCTCAGCTTACCGGTCCATTAAGGACCATTGCTGCCTTCAACAGGTATCCCCATCCCTCTCTATTGTAAATCAATTAATATGTCACATTCTGGTTTATGTCTTTCAAATCCTTGGCAACTACATCAATCCACTGGGTCCCAGGTCTTCCTAGGGGTCTTTTTTTGTTCATTTTTTCCACGAGTACTTTTTTTATTAGTTGACCATTCGCTCTCCAAGTGTGTCCAAACCACTCTAGTCTTTTATTCCTGATTAAGGCTAGAATGTTTGGTCTTTTGTATAATTTCTGTAGCTCTTCATTTTTTCTTCTGTCAAACGTATTTGTTTCTCGGTTAAAACGTGGTTCAAATATATTATGCAGTATTTTTCTTTCAAATATTATCAGCTTTTTCTCATTGCCTTTTGTTAATGACCATGTTTCACTCGCGTACGTCACTATTGGTCGCAAATAGCTATGGTATAAGCGTATCTTTGATGTTCATGATAGTAATTTTGATTTTAGGAGCTTAATTATACTATGGTAACACCTGTTCCCACTCATGATTCTTTCATTTATCTCATGGTGCAAATTATTCTTGTTATTGACGTTTACTCCCAGATACTTGAAGTTGTCCTCTGCTTCAAATTTCCAATTGTCTACCAATAGGTCGTTTATGTTTAGATTGGTCCTTGACATCACCATGTACTTAGTTTTATTTGAGCTAACCCAAATTTAAAAATTACTTTTTTGAATTTAANTCATTTACATATAAGCCCATTGACATGCTTGTCTTAAGTAGTATCTCGGTTGTCTGGGCAATCTCCTCCTTAGTCTCTCCCATCACTACAATATCATCGGCGTAGGCCAACATCACTGAATCTCCACTTATCCTCATTTGCCGTTGTTCATGGATATCTCTTACTATTTTTTCAAGAGCTAGATTGAATAATGTAGGAGATAGTGCGTCCCTCTGGCGCAAGCCGGTTTTTTCCTCAAATGGCTCCGAGTTATTCTGCAAAAATCGTATTTTGCAAATTGTCTTCTCGCTGCACATTTTTATTAGATTTACATATTTCCCCGGTATTCCAAGTATTTCCAATCCCTTCCATAACTCGCCCCTGTCAATACTATCATATGCCTGTTTGTAATCTATAAATGCAGGTCTACACCAAATTCGTAGTACTTTTCCTTAATTTGTCTTAATACAAATATGTGGTCGGTGGTTGCCTTGCCTTTTCGAAACCCACATTGATAACTTCCGATAATATCATTGGCATATGTATTTATTCTTTTTAATATTATTGTTGTTAGGACTTTATATCCAACGTCCAGTAGGGAAATACCTCTGTAGTTTTCTGTTTCTGCTGGGCTTCCTTTTTTAAATATAGGACAAATAATAGCACTGTTTCATTCGTCTGGAATCGTTTCTGTTCTCCATATTTCTCTAATCAATTCTGTTAGTTTTCTCTTTAACGTTGTCACCATATTCCATTTTGTAGACAGCCTGAGGTTGAATTGTGCAAATAGTAGGTAATGGTCCGAGTCGGCATCCGCTCCTCTGTAAGTTCTCACCTTTCTGATACAGCTGGCATGCCCTTTGCTTATCATTATTTGATCGATCTGATTATCCACTCAACCATTCGGCGATATCCATGTAGATTTATATATATCCTTTCTCGGGAAGAACGTACTACTTATTGTGAACTCTTTTGACGTGGCAAAGTGTATTAGTGTAATATTAACATGAATAAGAAATTTCTTCTCAAGAGGGGAGACTATAGTGATGGGATCCTTTATTGAAGCTATTGAATCTAGATGAGATAAAAATCAAATGATTTGAATATTTTTTCTCAAAAAAAAAAAATGCAAAATATTAATGAGACGGACGGATTTGAACCTCGATTCTAAGCGTGAATGACATAAGTGTTACCGATTTGGCAACTGTTCGTTTCTTTCATCGCATGATAAAATTGGCTATTTGAGCTAACCCAAATTTAAAAATTACTTTTTTGAATTTAAAAAAGTAAAAAAATTTTAATAAGTGTAATTTCTTATGTCTTATAAACATTATTCTATGTCAATTAAATTATATAATATCCATGAAAGTCAATGTATTCCCCTTTTAAGATATTTTAAAATAAAATAAAATATAAAACCCAGAATTTTAATACAAAAATAGCATATTTTTGAATACGGTAGCCATTTGTGCATAGAAGATAAGTCGTCGGGACAAATTTTTTTTTTTAATTTTATAGTACTTGACATAAGCTTTAATTTGACATATATTTAAAGGACGCAGCATTTCCGGAACATTTTCAAAAATTAAGTTGAACAAGTTAGTTTTTGTAAAAAAGTTGCTATTTTAAAACCCCCCCAGTGAGCAGGTTAAGTGTTAAATTTTCAAAAAAATGATATCAAATGAAAGGAAAATATCTAAGGTTTTAGTATAAAAAAAAATTATGTTGATTTGTTTATTTTTGAAAAAGTTATGGAAGTTTTAAGAAAAAAAAAGTGAAAAAAATGACAAAATTTACCGATTTTTAAATTTGTAATTTTTTTGGAGATTTCCCCCATTTGAGGGGAACAAGGGAAAAATTTCCAATTTTGAAGGGCAATATCTTCAACTAGATACGATTTGTGATTTTTTGACGTATAATTAAAAGAAATCGGTCCAGTGAGAGCTGAAAAAATGTGGCAACAGACAAAAATAAAAAAAAAACACATCATGGTAAAATTAATACCTTCTCAGCTTCCCATCGAAGCTAAAATGTCTGGATAATATATTATTTATACAAAATTAAATTTTGTATTTATAAATATAGATAAATGAAAAGTACATTTCTGTCAACAAATCATCTAATTGTCCTATTTGTATGAATGAAAAAAAAATGCCTACAGCTCTTAGGGTTTCAGGGTAAGTAAATAATTCCCCTTTACTATTCTTCTTTTTTATTTTATTGAATACTCTCTATTTCAACTTCAACTTAACTAGTATAACTCATAGTAAATTAAATTTTGTCTTGTAAAAATTGTACAAATCTTTAAAATTCGATGTAATGACTAAAAATAAAAATTATTAATTTTCCATTTAATTTTTTCAAATGAATATTTAATTTTTCTTGATAATTTTGATATTTGTTCATCAAATTTGATGTATCTCAGTGTGCAGTTTTTGAATTTTACCATTCTGTCTGATACAAAGATTAAGTTTAATAATTGAGTATATGTGTAAAAAAAAATCAATAAATATGTATATTTATAATAAATAATTTTAGTAAAAAATTTTTTGTAGGTTTGTGTTTTGCTATAAATGTTTACATAAATCACTTATGATGGATTCAAGATGCCCAGTTACCAAATTACCAGCAACAATGCAAGATATGATAAGAGTGTATTCTGAAAATAATTGATTGTATATTTATTTTTATAAGTAATAAACTTTTATTCTTTATATAATGGAATTAAATACATTTTTAATAAGTAGTTTTGTGTTATGTTACTAAATTTATTCTTGATTAATAACAAATATATTGAGTCAAATTTTTTGCTAAAACCAAATCTATTGTCTTATTTTGTTGCGATATTTTTATACAACAAGTCACCAGTATCCTACACCTATGGCTGCTTTGTTAAATAATATTACTTAAGACTAATTGTCATACTTGTTGTAAATTGCAGATTCACTGTACTCCACATGAATAAATGTTAATCAATATATCCTAATAGTTATTTATAAGAAGTATAGTATCTTTTAAATATTGATTTTAAGGAACTATTATTCTCTTTCAGTAACTATCATTTAGTTATATGGTTAGAATGAGATTGATTTAGCTCTGTATTAAAGCTCAGATTAGTTGGGTTAACTACCAAAAAAATCTAGTGTGTTTCATTAATTAAGGTCTGTTTGTTAATATTTAACACATTCATGTCACTTCTACATCTTTTTTATGTACCTACCTCAGAAAATCAGTTTTGTATTACTGCTATAGCAGTATTCGTTCGCTGCATACTTTTTTTCTATGTAATGAGTCACTACTGTTATGACAGTAATAATATACAAATAGTAATTACTGTTATTGCAGCAACTGACTGTCTTAAGCCAATAGGCTGAAATATATGTAGTATAATAATAATTTTAATATATTGTAGAATACTCTACATAAGAGTCAGGCTAGGTTTAAGTTAAAGGTTTTTAGCTAAAAAAAATTCAGTAGGCACTTTTGTTTCGATATTAACTGAATTATCAAGTTGTTAATAATTAATGATGTTTAATAATAAACAATTCTACAAAAATAATAAAACACTGTTAGGTACATAACAAGACTAGATAACACGTTGCGGGTGGGGAACTGAAATTTGAAACTTGACTAATGTCAAAGCTACTCTAATCTTATATATATATATTCTTAAGCATTTCAGAATGTTTGACTACTACACATACAATTATTCACACTATCTTCAAAATTTGTTTTTAAGAACAAAACTATCAAATCAGTTCATAAGATATGTGATTGCAATCTCAAAAATCAAATTTTGAATTTTATCTACAGTATCCAAATAAAAATATCATTCGAACATTCTTTTCTCATTGGCAAATGAAGTTAAATTTTACTATTTTTTTAAATTATAATTTAACTTTAATATTTACTTTATTTAATTGAAATGATCTACTTATTATTAAATAAAATAAGAACTTTTATATTATAAAGAAAATAAAAACTAGTTATTACAAAAAATTACTATAGTTAAAGTTGTATATTTTTTATCCAGTACACCAGATTGTATATACATTTTAAATACAAGAAATGTGACATTTTATTCTTATTGATCTTTTTATTCTGAAAGCAAAAAAATATTAAATGTCATAAAAATTATATTATTGAAAAATTCAGTGATTCATTTATCACAGTCCACTTAATTAGTTGCATAATACAAATAATTTCAGGAAAATTTTTTATTGGTTTGTACATATAATTTTTGATTTATTTATTTTTGTCACTTTTATCAGATCATTAAAGGACATTGCAGTCCTTGATTTATTAATTATTAAATATTTTTTAGGTCCATCCAATATTCCTTATAACGATACTAACTTTATTTTTTTTAATGAAAACATACATATTTAAAAAATAGCTTATATCATAAATAATAATCTTATTAAGAAAATGGTTAGTTGATTACAACTTATAGACCAATACTTCAGAAGTTATTCACATTTTTAACCTAGACGAAAGGAGGACTGTTCAAAATATATAATGATATATATAGTCATACCTTTGTTTCACTTTCAGTCTATATTTTAAAATTCTAATAACTTCTGAAGTACTATTCCAAAAGTTATTTCCAACAAGTCTTTTTCTTAGTTGATAAATTTCTATTTTATATGCATGTTGCCAATTAAAAATAAAATTGACATCCATATAAGAAATTAACTAAAAAATTTAAAAAAAAATATAAGTAACTAAAAAAGCAAAACAAAAATTTGCAAAATTATTTTTAATTTGTAAGTAATAACTTATAACTGGTTATAATAAAATATCACATAATTTTTTCTTATCATTTATTCACTAATATTGAAAAACAATTTACCATCAACATCTTTGCTTGATACTTCTTCTCCTTCACTATCTTCAGACATTTCATCAGCCATTGGAGCTAAATATACATCAGAAATCTCCCGTCCTGCACTTAATGAAGTAATAAGATCTATATTTTCACCTCTACCACAACTAACAGCTAAACTATCAAGCTTCGAATTCAATTCAGAAATATCTGCTTGCAGTTTATCTTTGCGTAATTTCTCCCATTCAACACGATATTCTCTAATGAATTATTAAAAAATATACTTTATTTGTAAAATTTTGTTGATACCTAAAAAAAATTTAATTAATACTTTTTATATTCATCTGTAGCTAAATCAACCATTTTTAAAAATTCATCAAAATTATGTCCAGTAACTGAAGAAACTGGAACACAATTTAATTCACTGTAAAATTCATCAAGAGTTAATGCCATAGTACGTGTTAGGTTAGACATATAAGAGGATTCTTGTTCAATAGCATCACAAAATACTTCAAAATCTTTCATCCATTCAATTGCATATGTTGGATCTACAATATCTGACTGAAATATAATAATTTTTAAAAAGTACTTGAATGAAGTTCACGTAATTATGATTTTTATATATACTTTGTTTAACACAACAATGAAAGGTAATTTTGTTTTATACAAAACTGAACATGCATACAGCATATTAGACATAAAAGTTACAGGGCTAGTACTTCTTTCAAGATCCATTACATAAACTACAATAGTTGGAAAAGATGATGCTAAACATTCAGTCAAAATTTGACCAGATGCTGACCATGTAAAAACTTCAATTTGACCTGGTGTATCAATAATAGCTAAATCATGTGTATTGTCTTTTTCAACTTTGCTCAAAAGATTTAATAGTTGATTAAATTTTGTGGTATACAAGTTTAATGATGTTACAATAGCACCATTTGGTCCCAAACCATAGCGTTGCATTACATTTTTATATTTTACTGAATCTCTAATATCTTTAAAAAAAAAATGATTATACAAGTGTTAGAAAAAGAAAAAAATGTTTGATTACACAGTTTTACCAATATTAGGTTTGTAAGGCATATTTTTACATGCAGGATCGATATTTATNTTTTTATATTTTACTGAATCTCTAATATCTTTAAAAAAAAAATGATTATACAAGTGTTAAAAAAGAAAAAAATGTTTGATTACACAGTTTTACCAATATTAGGTTTGTAAGGCATATTTTTACATGCAGGATCGATATTTATTAAGTATGGTGCTCTTTTATGTTGTCGCATATAAGTTTCCAATTTTGAAACAAAAGTTGTTTTTCCAGAACCTGCCATTCCTAAAACTATAAGACACACAGGAGAATCCTTGGATATATCGTCTGGATTACTATCCATTGCTTGATCCATTTCTAAATGTGATGCCAATCTGAAATTTTTTTAAAATTTAGTTTGAAATTTTATCATGCTGAAAAATATCTTACTCGTACTATTATAATAGTAATGTTTTTCCCACGTTTTTCTAGATAACATTTTGGCTGTGATAACTTTATAATCTCACCTTATATTTTGATGATTATCATTCCAAGCCGAAATTAATTTATATTTTTTTCTTCATGAGAAAGTTATAAAACCCTAAATATTAATTTTTATGAAAAAACTGTAAATTAATTGAACATCTTCTAATTTTTGTATCGCGTTATTAAAAAAAGCATTTGAATTTGTCCATTAAATCAATTGCTTTTTAATTGTGTTATTGTCTAAAATCAACAATTCTCCTGAAAAATAATCGTTATCATTTTTTACGGGTTCACGTTTCACGACTGTTTTTACTTTTTTACACTCAATACAAAAAAATGTGTTAAGTATTTTTTTACTATATAATTACTGTAATGATTGTGAAAACGTTAAATGTCACTTTTATTAGCTGTTAAGATGAATAATTTATCAATAAATTGTGATTTTATGATTAAATAATACATCAAAATAATAGTGGGTATTTATTTTTTACTAATACTTATATGTGCAGACCATTTTTTTATAAATGACAAAAATTATTTTTTTTATTAAATATAATCTTGATTACAAGATTATGAGTGATTGGTGGTGTTTATAATATTGCAATAGTGAAAAATTTTATTTTGTAATTTATCAAATATTCATGAAAATAATGAGATTTATTCATGATTAATAGATAGTTATTCATTTTCTTTTTTTAGTATTATGTCTTATATAAATGCCTATAAAAATCGTTCAAACCACAATGGAACATCTGAAGATGAAAAACAAACATTACTTGTTTTTGGTTATTCATGTAAATTGTTTAAAGATGACGAAAAAGCACTGTTCATTGATCAAGGTAAACATTTAATACCATGGATGGGTGATGATACACTTAAAATTGACAGGTAAATGTATTCATGTAATTTATGTTGAAGTTTTAAATATGTGGTCATTTATTTCAATTTTTGTAGGTATGATTGTCGTGGAGCTTTAAGCGATTTAAAATCTGTAGAAGCTCTACCATTTGGTCAAAGTCAATGGGAAGGATTAACCCCCGAAGAAAAAAAGATAGAGCAATTGTGTGATGAAGAAAGGTACAAATCACTTAATGATAAATCAGAAGAAGAACAAATATATCAAGGTATTTTTTTGTTACCTTAAAATCCTATATTAGCAACTTAACAGATTTTCAAAACGGCTACAAAATTATTTGTAGTATAAGTGTGTTAATATCTATATTTTTTTATTCAAAGGTTATGTTAATTTTTTAATTTGCCTGATTTTTCATTTAAAGTAATTATTTCAGTTAAAATTTTAAGTGATAATCTAAGATTTAAAAATACATTATTTATTTTTAGAGGAAGAATTAAAACGTTTACATCAAGCTTTAAACAATGAAGAAAAAGAGTATGGTCAAGTTGGCTACAAGTATGAAGATGAAATTACTAATTCATCTGAAATAAAACCTGTGGAAGATACTGATTATGAGACAGAATTAGAAGAAGCTTTTATTCCACCTAGAGAATTGGATATACCATCAAATATGCATGTGGTAAAAAAATTTTTCTAAATTATTTTTTATTTTTATTAATTCAATCATTTTATATTTATTTATGTGAAGCCTCCTACAAAGAAACTTAATGCTATAATTGAAAAAACAGCATTGTTTATTTCTAAACATGGAGCACAAATGGAAGTACTTTTAAAAGCTAAACAAGCTCATAATCCACAGTTTGAATTTTTGTCCTATGACCAGCCACTTTATCCTTATTACCAACATGTGCTTGCAGCAATTCGTTCATGTCGATATAATCCTACTCTGGTGAATGACAGCACAGAAGGTAAAAATCATGATACAATACAGGTGATTATTTTAAGCTAACCTTTCAATTTTTCTTAAAAAAATTAATTTTAATAAATATAAAATAACTTTTAGATCCGTCCCTAATATCTTGTAGGGGTGTAAACTTTATTTTTTTTTAAGGCAATATACGTTTTAAACTAACTTATAAAATACAAAATTATATAATTAAGAAAATGATGGTTTAATAACAACTTTTCAACTAGTGCTTCAGAAGATATTCACATTTTTGTACTGGGCAGGAGGAGTAGTGGGGCCAAGAAATGAATAATGATAAAAATAGTACCATCATATCCACATCCTTTCAATGTTTTAAAATGATAATGTATTAAAATAATCATCTTGTAGTATCTCAACAATGATATATTACCTAATTATTAAATTTGTATAGATTCATTAGACTCATCAAATGAAGATAGTTATTTACACCCAAGCTTGTTAAAAAGTGCAAAACAACATGAATCGGTAGGTCATTATTGTATTTCTACTGCTTAAATACTAATATTTAATTTTATTCAATTAGCAATGATTTTCCAAACATTTTTACTAAACATGATTGTGATGTAAATGTTTTTTTTTTCGATAAATTACAATGTACAAAATGTACTTTTGATTTCTAATTTCTTTTTGGATAGAATAATTTTTATATTAATTTCAAACTGCAAATAATTTTAATGAGTATGTTAATTTATTTTAAAACTAAAATAAGTTTTCATAAATAGCTATTTAAATGATCGTACTGTTGAAGTTTATGATTTTAAAATACTGATTTATTTTTCGGTTAATTTTTAGTTTTGATTATTTTTAATTAAAAAATCCCTTATTGATCATATATACAGAGATATTTAAAATAGTTTATAATAAGTAAAAAAAAAAGTGTTATAACCTATACCTATACATTAATAAGTAGCTGTTACTGGAAGATATGATTGCTTCGCCAAAAAATTGTGACATAATGCAAGTGGTTTGGATATTGGTGAGTTAGTGTTTTACATTAAATGTCTTATGCCATTGATTTCAAAAGATTATTTTTATATTAATTTATTGTATAATTTTTAATTAATAATGTAAAACTGAAGACCAAGATACAAGAGAATTAAAATATAATAAAAATTTTAATTAAGTTATAAAAAAAGATTTAAAATAATTTATGTGCTATGTGCAAAAAAATGATTTTAAGTAATTCAATATTGTAATAGCCTTAAATAGCTTATACTTATAATTATGGTTTGATGTTATATGCATTTATAAATTAGATAAGTTATTTTGAATAAACCATTAGCCAATAAAAATTTTTATTAATTGACTTGAAAACTTAGTTATGTATTGTTCCTTAGATTTAAGGAGGTTATTCCTCTAAAACTTAAAATAATTATATGCAACAAAACATTGGAGCCTTTCAGAGTGGCTCAAATGAAATTTATAATTCAAGACCCTACTTATAACTACTCATAAAAAAAAATTACATTTGCCTTCCTTATTTTTTCCTTTATTAATCTATGTATTTTTTTAATTTATTTAAAACAAAATATTACAACCCCGATTTGTTTCATCCCTCCCCCTCCTATCATACTTTTGGGTTTTATATATTATTGGGATTGACACTAGAAACTTTTTGTTGGGACTAATTAAATTTTTTGGTACATAGCACGTAATTAATTTCAGGTCTTCAAGTATGTATATAAATAAAAATATCTAAGATATTTATGAACATAAATAGGTTATTAGAATATTTTTTAATTTAATTTCACAATGAATAGTCATCAATTATCACTTAATAGTAAAAATTTACTACATTTTTTCAGTTTTTTTTCTCTCTCCTTTGTTTTCTTATTTACATTTTAAATTTGTTTGTGTATATGACAAAAAAGTTATATACATATAATGTGATAACAGGAATACTTGGCTATTAAATAATAATCAGATAATAAGAACATTTTTTTTTCTAAATGTTAAACTACATAATATCATGCACCATTTTTGAATCATCTTGATTGTGTGTACACTAAATTGTAACATAACTAGAAGTTTTTTTAAACAAACAGATGTGGGATTGGTATGCTGTATAATATTAAACATATGGTGAAAAATATAAATAAATTAATTAACAAAAAAATATCAAATTCACAAAAGTTACCTTTTTATATAAGATGACACTTCTGAAAAGATTGAATCCCTTCAAGAAAAACTTAATTTACTATTTCAAATTTAGGAAGTCTTCAAGTACAGTTTTTATATATCAAAATTTGTGAGCTTAATAATTTACTAGACAGGTAAGAATTTGGGTTAATGAAACCAATTTAATTGGAACCTGAATATTAATATTTTAATTAAGGAAAAAAAATTATAACTAAGTGGTTTCTGTGGTCATTACTTAATTTTTAAATAATTGTTTTAAAACAATTAAGGTAAGTTTAGGAATATGTATATATATATATATATATATATAAATGTATGAATACTTGTATTTGTAAGATAATCATTTTTAATAATAATAATTTTACAAAACTTTGAAAATTTTAGTAATTAAGATATTTTTTCTTAAGAGAAAATTTGAATTAATTAATTTTAAGTATGTTAACTATTATTACTGGCAATTAACTGATATATTTATTTTTTTTAGGTAATTTTTGTAACCTGATAATGGGCCATCAATTATCCTTTGAATTCAACTTTAATGTTCCTATAATATTATCTTTGTCCAAAAAAAAAAAAAAATTCCTTAAAAATAAACATTATTTGTTCATCATTTTTTATAATTTTGGAACTTTTTTATACAATGTAAAATAGATAATATTTATAAACAAAAATTTTCTTTATATTAGAATTGTCCTTTAAAGTTTTCTTCCTTTGAAATCACAATATTCACAAATTTAAACTTGCTTTTATTTTGCAAGTACTATCCATTATCATAAAGTGTTATTAATTATATTGTATTAATTTTCAGGCTCCATTTATACCAAATATCTTGTATAAACCCTCTGCTGACTGTTCCTATTCATTACTTGTTAATAAAATAAAAGAAAAACAATCTGCTATGCCAGTCGAAGAAGAAATTTCTAAAAATGAAGATTTAACTTGTAGTACTAATGTAATTATATCTGAATTTGATGGATTAACTAAATCAGCTAGAAGGAGATTGAAAAAAAAGTTAGTTTCCCAATCAGCATTAAATGCTTCTAATTCTCCAGAGTCAGATGAAGCAAACATAATTGAAAAACCAACTGCAAAAGAAGTAAATTATTTAAAAAAACACTTTTCTAAAATTATTGATGTTTGAGTCATTTTTATTTCAGGAAATTTACAAAGAATCTAATATAACAAATACACCTCAACCAATTGTGGCTAGTGGAATTGAAGTCCCACCTACAGATTTGCAAATTATTATAGATAAGATGGCTTCATATGTCACAAAAAATGGAAAGCAATTTGAAGAGACTGCAAGAATGAGACGTTAGTTTGATCTTATTTTCATCTATCAATTTAAATGTTCTCATATACTAATAAAATATTTAAAAAAATTTTTTAAATCAGAGGATCCAAGACTCAAATTTTTAGAACCAACTGATTGTTTTAATGCTTACTATTTACAAAAACTTAAACTTTATGCAACTATTAAACGTTTAGAACAAACAGCTCCTTCAAAATCTACATTGGAATCTAAAGCAACTTCTAAGTGTAAATTAATACTAGAAGACGATTATTTCAAATTATTTATATTTTGATAACATTTTAATATTTTAGTACCTGTTTGCTTTTCATTAAAAAAGCAAAAGGAAGCGGAAGCAATGGAAATAAAAAAAAGTGCTTTGAATGATAGTTCAAATGAGATGAGTGATGATGATCATAATAAAGATCTCTCCAAAAGAATTGATCAGAATCCCAATAAAACAAACAAATCTTTGAAAAAAAATCCTTTACAAAACTCAGCAAGATTAGGTATTATAGTAAATATCTGACTAATTAAATAAATATTATATTTATATTATTTTATCTTAGCCGAAGAAAGATTAAAAGATAAACTTGCTATGGCTGCAAAAGAAAAACTTGCTTTGCTAGAAAGAGAAAGAACTAAAAAGGAAAAGGAAAAAATTCAAGCTGAACGTAAAAGAAAAGCTGCTCAATTTTTAGCTGCAATGAAAATTGTTCCTTCATCGAGTAAAAATTCAACATCTAATATAGATGAAAAACCTACTTTATCAGAAAATATTCCTAATGAGAGTATGTTGAACAACTAAAACTATGTTGAAATGAATATTTATATTATATGTGATAATTTTTTAATGAAAAATATGGAATAATTTGTGCATGTTTGATTTTAGTTGAAAAATCTGAAGTAAAAAAATTAGTCAACACAGAGAATGGTGGTTTATCTAATAATAATTTAATATCTGATTCGTGCTCAAAAGGACTTGATGTTATATCTATTGGTTCAAGGTAAGACATTATTACTTATTTAATTTAGTTCTTCAGATATTAACTAAAAATTAAATATTTTATAGCGATGAAGAAATAAGTAGTAGTAAAGATATAAATGGTGATAAAATAAACAAATCTTCTTTACAAACTAGACTACAAGGTATGACATTTAAGATTTTAAATAAATGTGTTAATATATAATAATTTTATTTACAATACTTCAGAAACGTTATCTAGAGAAGAAAAACGCAAAAGATTAGATAATTACGAAAAAGAAAAAGATTTTTATAAGCGAATGAAACGGTATGATGAAGCAAAGGAAAAATCTTCTGATTGGTAAAATATGTTTTGTAGATTTAAAAAGTTTACAAAAGGGTTATTAATGTTTACTTGGAAACTTGAACCATTACTTTTAAATGTTGCTGTTATTTAATTTATTTTTTGTTTTTTAATATGATGAATTTAATTTAACATTGCATTGTCTTACTTTATTATTTTATTTTTATTACTCTTGTTCTTGAAGTTAATTGTCTACTTTATAACTTCTCATGTTTAATAATTGCAGTCATTATTTGTCTCGTGAAAAAGATCGAAGTAGGAGACACTCAAAAAAAACTCATTCCAATCGCCATAGTTCATCTAAGGATCATAAAAGAGATCGTAGTCGAAGACATTCAAAACACAAACATAAATCGAAAAAATCAAAAAAAAAATCTCACAATCGCAGCTCAAATTCTGACTCTTCGGATGACAGTGACTATACCAATAATAGTCATCAATCATAAATAATTTTTTGTTATGATCTTATTTTATTTTGTATATTATTGTGAAAGAAAATATTAACTGATATTATGTAATATTCAGCTTGTAAGCTATTTTACGACATTGTTAGTTTGTTATTTTTGTATATAACATTAAAATTTATTTTCTGTAAATTGCTTTTGTATATATATTTACTGAATGGATGTGGAATCATAAAAAGATGTTTTTGAATTTATATGTATATATGCAGTAGCGTATTTAGTTCTTTGGTGACCCTAAGCTAAAATAATTCTACCCCTACTCCTATTATTTAGTAACAAACAATATGTTTCTTACCTTTTTTTAAAATTTATTATTTTCTGATCAAAAAGTGTATGTATCAGACCTAATATTTTACTTAATTTATCATGACAATACTTATACAGTCATAGTCATATGGTAATAAATAATGAAAAAATTACAATATAACATCAAATGAACTGTAGTTAATTAACGTACAGATAAATGTTTGTAAAACATGGAATAATAAGTTTTTAAAATTAATATAAAATTAACACATTTTTCGTTGACTTATTGCATTGGCGTATTAAGAAAGGAGAGATTACTCCTAATTTTTTGTTCGAATATATTTATTTTGATTTTTAACCTGTATAACTTTTTAAAAAGGAATTAATTTTTTTTATAATATTGTGTATTTTCTGTCAATGAAAGTCATGAAAAAAAGGTTGAGGTACACAAACTCTCACTAAGAAAATCTAATTTGAATTTAGATTTTACACTTATTTTCTAAAAAATGTATAATTAGGTTATACAAGTGAAGGCTACAGTAATTAGATTACCGATTTACATTTAAGCTACATGAATTAAACTTATATTAAATATAAAGCTAAACTTATTTTCAACTTTTGTCAAGTAAAATGACTGAAAATTTGATCTAGTATAAATTGCATTTTTTTATTTATCAACCATTGTAAAGCAATATTTTTTAAATAAAAATATTATTTTATACTGACAGATATGATACTCAAAACTCATTTATAGAATGAATTATAAAAAAACGGAAGCACAGTAGTAGGGACAAAGCAGTTGAGAGAAGTAAAGATCAGTGAATTCATTCCCAAGATTTATTTTATGTATTAATTTTCGAGAAAATCTATTAGCAAATTTTATTTCAACATAAAAATAGATTTAGAAAAGTATAGTAAAAAATCTCTTAAAAAATGCTACCTAGGCTCCTTAAATACACCATTTATACACATATTTTTAATGACATAAATAAAAAATAAAATAAAACAATTCAAGACTAATTAACTTGTTCAAAGACAAGCAGAAATTAATTATAACTAAATTTTAATAACACAACTTTAATATTTTATAAATTTTGTTTTGTGCTATACTTCAAATGACTAAAAAAGCAATATGTAATTTTTGTGTTGTCTCTTCACTTATTAGCTTCGATGCGAAGCTGAGAAGGTATTAATTTTACCATGATGTGTTTTTTTTTTTTTTTTTTCTGTTACCACTTTTTCTCAGCTCTCACCGAACCAATTTCTTTCAATGATACGTCAAAAGATCACAAATTATATCTAGTCGAAGACATTACCCTCAAAAATTGAAAAAAATGCCCTCGTTCCCCGTAAATGGGGGAAACCTCCAAAAAAATTACAAATTTAAAAATCGCTAATTTTCGAAATTTTTTTTACTTAAAAGTGCCATAACTTTTTCAAAAATGAACATATCAATATAATTCTTTTTTATATAGATGTGTAATATTATTACCTTTCGTTTGGTATATTTTTTTCATAAATTTAACCCTTAACCTGCCCACAAGGGGGGATTTAAAATAACAACTTTTTCAAAAAAAATTAACTTTTTCAACTTAACTTTTGAAAATGTTCCGGAAGGTCTGACACTTTTATATATATCTTAAATTAAAGCTAATGTAATATGCTTTATCATGAAAAAAAAAAATTTCGGACTTTATCTTATCTTTACGGTGAAAATGGCTACCAAATGCTTTTTTTGTGTGAAAATTTTCGATTTTGTATTTTACATTTTTAACTTTATTATGCTATAACTTTTTGAAAAATGTATGGATCAGTACAATTTTTTCATGAGGAGTAGTATTTATATACATCTTTCATTTGACATACTGTTTTTTAAAATCCGACCATTTCCCTATATACGAGGGGGGTTCAAATCTAAAAAATGCATGTAGAAAGTAGAACTTTTTCAACTTAAATTTTGAAAGTGTTCCGGAAAGTCTGACACTTTTATATATATCTTAAATTAAAGGTAATGTAATATACTTTATTATGGTAAAAAAAAATTTCGGACTTTATTTTATCTTCACGGTGAAAATGGCTACCGAATGCTATTATTGTGTGAAAATTCTCGATTTTATTTTTTACATTTTTAACTTTATAATGCTATGACTTATTGAAAAGTATATGGATCAACATTATTTTTTTATGATAAATAATATTTTTTAATAATCCCTTTTTCATTCTACATACTTTATCTTAATTAGGATATTAATAATGAACTAGCAGATCATGTAGCTTTTGGAATAGTCCACCAATTTTTTAAAATTAAACAGTATCTAAAGATTTGCATCGAAGCGTTTTTTTTTNACTATCTAAAAATTTGAATCGAAGCGTTTTATTTTGATAGTGATTTTAATCACTGTCAGATATCATTATACTGATCCATCTATGTCACGTCACCACTGTGCCGCGACCCCCCTGTGCTGGGTTTTTATTTATTGATTTAATATACAAAAATTTTAGATTATTAAATAGTTAGATGGTTAAAAAAGGTACAAAATCATTAGTTGTTTTTTTTAAAAACAGTTGTTTTATTATATTTAATAATAGTCATTCATTCATATACAAGTTATGCCTGGAGTACACAAACACCTCCAACTTTTTTTATTTTTTCTTCAGCAACCTTGGAAAAGAATTTAGCTTTAACAATGACTGGTTGCTTGGGAAGATTGCCCTTGCCCAAAACTTTGTAATATCCCTAAAATAAAATTTTTAAACATAAAAACAAATTAAAAAATAATAGATTAAAAGATAAATAAATTTTCACTTAGAAGATTAAAATTCTAAGTATACTAATCAGATTAAAATTGTTTGCAACATAGAACTGTACTTCAGACCGCCTGTCGCTAAACATTGATTTCTCATCATATGGTTTTCTAACACATTAAAAGAAAAACAAATAATTAATTTACCTTACGAACAACATCAATGACAACTGCTTTTTCTTTGTTATTTTCATACTTTTGTCTAGTTTCTTCTGGAATTAAAGTATACAGTTGTTCTAAATTTATGGATGGACACCATTTTGAATTTCTTCTTAAATGATAGTTTCTCATACCCAGCTATAAAATGTAGCACAAAATTTAGCTTTAAGAATTTAAGACACTACAAATTCATATATAAAAATACCTTTCCAAAATAACCAGGATGGTATTTGTCAAAATTAATCCTATGATGGTGCATACCACCAGCATTACCTCTACCTCCTGGATGTTTCCTATGTTTTCCTAAAATTAAAATAGTGCAAATGAAAATTACATTAAATGTTACATGCAATTAATATAATGATATAATTTTATAATATTCAAAACCAATCAGATAGGTTTATTTAGCCACATAAAATTTACACTTCAGACCGCCTGTCGCTAAACACTTTTCATCACTTAAGGTTTTTGATGTTTGAACTAATAAACAAAATTTACTAAGATATATAAATATAAGTATCATTTATATTAAGTATTCACAAATTGATGAATATTGACAAAAATGATACAGAATTTTTTAGCACTAACTTTATAACTAAACTCTAAAATACAGTAATTTGGTTGATCAATTAGTGCATTTCTTGTACTGAATGATATAATATATTAACATAGAGTTTAGCTAACACTTACCTACACGACCATGTCCATGACTTACATGTCCTCTCAATTTCCTGGTCTTCTTTTTACTAGTAGTCTATAACAAAGAAATGAAATAAAATTTAAATACAATAAACAGTAATTCAATAAAATACAATATTTAAGTACAACCTAATATAATATTAAATAAGGACTTCAATTTAAAAAAATTAAATAAGATTAATGATGTTTCAACATTGTAATGAAGACTCATCTGCTTTATTTAAACATTATTTATACTTAATATCAAATTCGAGTGCATTGAATACATGTTAAAATAACATGGCAAGTAAACTTTAAGTTATTAAGAAATCAGCATCACATGGTTTATTTGTTCCCTTTTTTTAATAATAGTATATTTGAAAAATATTTAATGTGTAATATATTTTTTTAATATGATATTTTTAAAATTTTCTACAAAATCTTTAAATTGAACTTACCATGATTAACTATAAAATAAATGTTTAGAAAACGAACAATTAAGTATGAGCTAGAAGTAAAGATTTTCGTAAAGAAAACACGAAGGCAATAGAAACACATACTATTTTATTATATTTTAAGGTTAGCTATGTATCATAATACGGTATATTATATTCTCTTTGGAAGTTTTCAAGAAGGTAAAGCAGTTTGACCATCATAATAATATAAAATTAGTTATGATAATTTTTTTTTTTGAAGGCATAAGGTACAGATAAAGTTAATAAACATATAGTTTATTATTCATATCTGTGTACTGAAACGAATATCAGAAGCCTGTACTTAGAAATGAAATTTTACATCGAAGAGTTAATTTTTTGAACTTCATAACCAATATTCAATCTATTTTTTGTTAGTTTGTCTATCGGTAGTCATTGTCTCGACGTATATGCTCAAAACATAGGAAATTAAAACATTTTGTATCACTAGTAAGATTATAAAAATTACCTTTGCCATATCTCGGAGAAAAACTTATGAAAGGTTATGAAGCATTGGTTACTTTCATTTTGAATGTTATATTACATATTAGTTTTATTACACTTCGTTTAACATTTGAGCGGTTCATCCGTTCAACGCGTTCCACTTCCACTTCTTGAAATATCTTAATATTTGCTAATAGATGGTTTCTTTTTAATGACTATTATCAAGTAACGTAGTTGACAACTCTCTTGACAAAAATACTACACAAAGCATTTTCTTAGTTTCTGTCCCGTTCAAGTGTAAACTTCGACGTAGTTGTATTTTGTTACGAAAATATGAAAAGGCTGTTTAATCATTTGATTATACATAAACATGCATTACTGTGACACTTTCCTTTTTTCATTAATGCATTTTTGAAACATATTGCAATGTTTACCTAATCATTTAACTCACTAAGATTTCCAATGTACCATTTTCTAGTCGGTCCAGCCAAGTGAGTGTATTTGTCTGGCTATAGTTAATATATTGTGATTCATTGCTAATGTTTCGAGTGTAGACTACTCAGTTGAGGTTATATTTTAATTCAACTTTTTTTGATAAGGGAAGAGCAAATGTCCATTCTATCACCATTAAAAATTTAATGTATAGTTAAAGGATACAAAATTTCCGGGACTTTTTCAAAAGCTAAATTGAAGAAAATTGACTTTTGTAAAAAATTTCCTATTTTGAATCTGCTCCTATAAAGGATCAGGTTTTTAAAAAATTTATATCAAATTAAATAAAAATATCTAAGGTGTATATATATAAAAAATTATTTTGATTTGTTCATTTTTAAAAAAGTTTTTGCAAAATTAAAAAATGTAATTTTTTTTGTAGATTTCCCTATTTACAGGAAACGAGGGAAGTTTTTTTAATGTTTAAGGGCAATGGCTTCAATTAGATATGAGTTGTGATCTTTTGACGTATGGTTGAAAGAAATCTGTTCAGTGAGAGTTAAGAAAAAGTGGCGACAGACATAAAAAAAAAAAGAAAACGCATTACAGTTAAAAAATACTTTCTCAGTTTCGCATCAAAGCTTAAAAAAATTTTTTTGTGACTATTTTTTTTTTTGCTAAAAATTTATTTAAAAGTACAACTTTAATTTAATTATTTAAATAATTAGATTGTCGCATGGATTTCAGGAGGAGGTGCAGCCCTTTTCATCTCTTTGGTTTAACCATTGATTAAGCCAAATATAGATTAACTCCTTCTGTATACCCAGAATTATCAAAAAACATATTAAAGAAACTGTTTAAAGCGTTTTAACTATGTTTATACCAAGGTGTAATGTAAGGATTTTCCTCACTTATACGATTAAAAGTCTTAACTAGCTAACCTGTAGTCATTGCCATATTTCCTTCATATTTTATTTATACGACTATTCTATTTACATTATTTTTTTTTAAGGTTTTAATGAATGAATTATATATCAAAATTAATTAATCATGCTATCCAATAAACCTAGGAGTTATTTAAAAATGTTAACTTTTTTAATTTTTATACGAGTATAAATTAACCTTCCGGTAGGCGTCTCCTAGACCGATACGAGCGACCGCGCTTATCTCACAGATACCATTTGTTTGTAATAATTGTATATTATCCATATATAATAAGGTTAAATTACAATAAAAGTTTTACAAATTCAATAGAAATTATCAAAATATTATTTGTAACTACATTAAACTACCAATAATTTTTTTATTTTAAAAATTATAAAACTACTATAACACTAGGGGAAAAATGGGTATTAATTCTCGATAGTGGGGTGTTCGACTGAATTGACAATTTGTATAAAAAATTATATGAATTATTTACTTTATTGACGTAGACATTTGACTGCAGCTCCCCCCCTCCGAAATTAATACGATGACCGAAGTTTATTAAAATGCTAATATTTTTAAGAAGCATTTTTGTACTTGCTTTTATTTTCAATGTTAGTTAATTTCAGATGCCCAAAATTTTTTTCTTAATTACATAAGCAATTTTCTAAATTTCACTTTAAATTACAGTCTGCCTTATAGTAACATGATTAATTGGTTGTCAACCAATGGTCAAACATCTTGATTTTATTTACTGAACTTAATATAGGTACGGAGCTTGTGTTAACGAAGATACAGTATAATAATATATTTATTTATACAATAAGCATAAATACGTTACTATTATTTAATAAGGTAATTATTAATACAGGACATGTTACAAAATCTTCTAGAAACGAAAAGAGCATTCTAGAATTTCTGTTTGTTTACTTTTATGTCTCCTCACTTTGATAATAAAAAGTAATGATATGAAAGCAATTTGTGATAACTATAAAATTGTAGAATTTGCTCATGCTCCTTGATAGTAACGTAATTTTGAAATTTTAAATGTATTTTTATTAAATATAAACGATTAATTGATAATATTAAAAATAATAAGAATATTAGAAAATATATTTGTTATAGATTAAATCATTAATATTTTCATCTCAAAACTTAATATAAAAAAGTGTGTGCTTAAATTTTATAATCGTATGTACAAATAGGTAGTTATTTCTTATTTCTTTTATATGTATTTTATATTTTTCTTTTTGTTGAAAGGAAGATAATTTGAATTTTTTTATGAGTAGAAATGTTTAAACGGGGATTTATACCAGATAGTATGACTAACAATACAGCTACTCCTGGTGTCACACCACCAACTTTTAACATGCAATTCGGATCACAAAATGGATACTCATCTTTTACTCCAAATTATCAATTTCCATACACATTTTCATCTTCTACACCACCTATGTATAGTTGGGCTAATACCAATAGTTCAGAAGTAATGAAGTAAGTAAAATTTAAATCAAAGGATAAACATTAATTTTTAGTATTCTTTACGGTTTTAAACATTTTTTAAAACTTGTGAAGATTTACTTCATGTAAAACACAAGATAATATTTTAAATTTTACTATATTTTATTTTAAAATTTTAGATTTACTGGTTCTAGTAATCCACAACCATTAGATACAACATTATTTCACCAAAATAATTTTGGATCAATTCCTAAACGAAAAATGGAATTGGATGCAGAGTTAGTATTGTATTTAATCATATTATTATGTGTCCAAAAATATATTGTAATTTTAATGAGCTTTATCAATTTGGAAACAATTTAATAAAATTAATTTTTGTGTATTGGTCCATATTAAACAAGTTTGAAGCTTAAAATTTTCTTTGTTATTTTCTACATCTTTAGTTCTTAAATTAATCGAAAAATTTTAGGTTAATTACTGAAAATAAATTTAATCTATAAATAAATGATAAATACTTTAAATATTATAAGATATGTGTAAATTATAATTCTAATAAGATATTTAAAAATACAAATCCTTATATAATGATAGATTTATAATGTAAGTTTTTAAAATTGATTTTCTCATTTTAAATGTATAATATATAATGTCAATAATTTATAAATTATTTATAGTCTTCCTCAACCACCCAAAATGAGAATTACAGAAGAAAAAGTGTCTGCAAGTTTACGGGACATGCACATCAGTAACAATTTTGAGATTCATAATTATTGTCTTGGTAATAGCATAAGTAATATTGATGTAAGTTATCATATATTTTGTTTATTGTACATTATTTTACTGTAAAATTATTAATTGTGACAAATAAAATCAGTACACATGTTAATTTTCATCGAAAAATATCTTTAGAGTATATGACACAGAAAATGTACTGTCACAAAAACTAAATTTTTCAGGTGAAGGAAAATTTATTTTTTTTTAATTGTGTGGTTTTATAACGAGCATTAGTTTTTTTATGTTAAAATTTTTCTATCCAGAAATTTGATTACATTTTTTATCAAGTTATTAAAACTTTTTTTACTATCCAAAAAAAAACTAAAAATTGATTTTTGGGACATTCTTATGTTAACATCTCAATTATATTATAACTTTTCAGTTTTTTTGAAACTTTTAAAAATCCGCTTTATAATTATATTTTATGATGTATAGAATCATTATTAAAGATCTAGTTTCGAATATCTGGGACTCTCACTGAAAATGTAGCTTTCTAAATTCATATATAAATCTTTTTCACAGCAATTTAGAAATTAATCTGAATTACTTTTTAAATCTAAGTAATACATTTGTTAATTATATTTAATAACCAGTAATAATAATTAACAGGAACCAGAATGTATTGCCATGAAAAATACTGTATCAACTAATGAAGTTGAAGGAGAATCTCAGACTACATTAATTATGTGTGAGGAATTAAGAAAACTCAAAAATTTCGACTCAATTATACCTCAACCTTATCTTAATGTGTAATTATTTAAAAAATTGGAAAAAATGTTTCTAATTAATGACAATAAAATTTTGTATATGTTAGAGAAAGACCAAAAAATGCTGTTGCATTGTGGAAACCACAGTCTATTATAGAGTTTGTACGCTCTCTCAGAAACTTAGAAGAGCCAAAATCATCTGTTGTAATCACAGAAATTACTGATGAAGAGGAAGTTTTTCAAAATGAGGTTGTCATGGAAAGTGATGAGTAGGTTTAAAAAGAAAAAAACTTTTTACATTTCATATTGCTCACATTATTTTAATATGTATTTACCTAAATTAAATTAGATATAGTAATTATTTATAATTTAACTAAAGTATAAAAATGTTTATCATATTTGAGGTATAGCAGAGCAAAGTGATTAAAGTATCAAAATTTTTTTTTTTATGGAAATCATTAAAAATTATTTCATTCTCTTATGAGGAACCTTTAAGAACTTTATCTACCAGTATTCATTTCTAAAATTTACAAATAGTTATTGATGTTGAATATTTTTCACAGTATTAGCATGGGTACTAAGATTAATATGATCTAATAAAAATTTCTTTTGAATTTTTGGCTCTTAGAAGATTACTTTCATTTAATTAGTTAATTATTACTTTCATTTTTAACCAAACCTAATTATGTAAATAGCTAATTTATTGTGATATGTTCTAAATATATATGTAAATTTTGACAATGGCCTTTACTGCTGCAGTTACGTTATTAAAAGAAAAGAAAATTACTTTGTCCCTTATATTTATATCACATATTTCATTCAAATAACTATAAATATTATCTAAAATGACTTGATTGTAAAATAATGTAAAATATTCTTATAGGTAATTTATATTTATTAATTTCTTCAAATATTTCAAAAATTAATAAAAAAACATTTTTTTAATATCATAAATGCATTTATTTAATTGTCCGTTTAAATAATGTTTTGTACATAAAATATATAATAGTTTCATAATACTTCAATACAAATATAAATTTCTTTAGATGCATAGCAGATGAAATAGATGAAATGGAACTATGATATAGTGGCATGTGTTCAAAGTCATACCAGTTTTTTCATGGAAGGCGAGTCAATTTACTGTTAAAAATAAAAAATAAAATTAATTATTAAATAAATTAAGGTTTAATTTTATTTAAACAGGAGTAAGAAGAAAAAAATATTAATTTTGAAGTGTGATAATAATATAAAGTATAATCTTTTCTTATTTTAGATTTTAAGGTTTTTATAAAATAATTTTTGTAATGTATTGAAGTTTTGAATTTATATTCCTAATAAAATTAATATAATTTGTAATATACATGTAATATAGACATTTCAATAAATATTAAACTAAAATTAAATAAAAATATGTTTCAAGCTATATAGTGTTTAATTTAAAAAAATTAATTTTGGCACAAATAATGTGCGTGGAAAACATTTTTAGTTTAGAATTTATAGAAACAGATTTTATGGTAAATTTCATTATTAGCATATTTATTATTCATATTTTATTTTTGAATAAATGTAGGATAAAAATTAAATTAAACATTTTGAAAAAAAATAGTTGTATATAGAAGCTTAGGATATTCCTATTCTTCTAAGAAATTTCACATAAAACACTTCTAAAACTTGAAACTTCATTAAGAAAATTTTTTCTAATTTGTTAATGAGTATTAAAATTATTATATTTTACAAACAAAATATTATTTTAACTTTGAGTAATCATTCCATTATTTTCTATCTAAAACAAAATAATTTTTCAAACCTATGATGAATGGTTGATATTCAGATGAACTTAAAATTATTTTATTAAATATTAATTTTGAGACAAAGCATTGTAAAATAAAATATTTATGAATATATTAGCAGTTAAATACAACAGTATAATATTGAATAAGACTTAACACTATTGATTATACAGATTGCAACAGATTTAACTGATAACTTATACTTTTTTATCTACTTAAACAAACTCAGACTCTATTGTAATTTGATTATTAGTAATTTTTGTTTTCTTAATAAATTTTTTTTTTGGAAATTCTAATATAGCTGTCATAATGCTATTTTTTTGTTGTAAAATTTGTTAAAACTAGAATTTTTTTTATAATAATGTTTGGTCTACATTATGTATGAAAAATACAGTTACTTCTATTCTTTAGACTACTGTTTGATATTAGTGAAAAGGCATAAAAAAATTAAATCATATCTAATATAAAAAACTGCAGTAAAAGTGGAATTAAATAAAAGTATTTGGTATCAAAACTTTTCTTACTACTAACATATAGGGTTCAGTAGATAAGGAAAAGGGATTTTATTGTTCTCATTGTTTATAGCAATTGACCTGGTTCCTTACTTATTGTACAACCCACATAAAATGACAATATTGAAATCTCAAAAAAATAAAAATAATATATTTATGTATCAGTAAAAAATGACTAACAATTTGGATTGTAGTCTAAATCTGTAAAAATAGACTTAAAATAAAAGTGAAAGCAGACTAAAAGTTGTAAAAATTGTCAGTTAGATCTGTTCTACTCTGTAAAATGAAACTAGGAAATAGATAGTTGTATATTTTATTAATTAGTAATTTCCGCATAGATATAAAAACAAAAATAAAGAACAATTATTTGTTTAGAAATTTAGAATTAATCAGTTTCACATATTTACTAAATTTTCCATATAATAGATACTTCTTCATAATCCAAAATTCCATACTAGTTATTGAATAATTGTTCAGTTTATTGCTTAAATAATTTTGTTAAATAACTTCTAATAAAAATTGGAATTCATGCATTATTAAAAAATTTTTGTTAAATGATAATTTTCTTGCATGTATAGTACTCATACATAAATTTAAAAAATAAAATAAATATGGTTAACACACAATTAAGATAGCCATACACCAATTTAGTAATTTCAGGGAATTTTTTTCTTATTACTTACTGTTAAAATACTTAATAATGATTCTTATTACCATCCTGGTGTAGTGTTTGCAAGTCGCCGCATACGCCTAGAATAAATAAATATGAGCATTAGTAAAAAGTAAGACAGTTTTGAGTAACACTATAAAACAATATTTCTAGTGCATGCCTTGTATTCCTGTCTTGATCTCTTATCTTTTTCTCCATTTCAGCATCAGTTAATGTTTCCAAAAATGGACTCCATTGATCAGCATCTGATGGTGGTCTAAATGGAGTTTCTACTATTGATAAAGGTGCCTCACTAATAAAAAATAAAATAAATTAAAACACCATTATAATAACCTTCAATATTTAATTATGATATACCTAAAAGCATATGTTCGTTGGTGCCAGCTTAGTTGTCCACGTATAGAATATGCGATAGCAGTCACAAATTCTCCACCAAGACCAAGTTCAGCACATAGTTTCATCGCAAATTGTTCTGGTGAATTGTCTTTTTCACCCATATCCCATTCTACTTGGTCTACTAATGATGTGTTACCCACATGAATGTTAAGCTATAATTAATTTAATTAATTTTTTTAAGAATTGAAAACTAAATTATTCAGAAGGATTCAGTTTGATGAGTTAACAGATATAAATTATAGTTAGCTAATTTTTCTTTTAATGATTTAAAACTATTTGTTTCAAAACTTTATTTCATTTTCTTTAATGTTTCTATTTGAAGAAAATTTAATTTTAAAGTTCAACAGTAATTTCTTTAATACAAAAATTCATGACATAATTAAAAAGTTTTGAAAACTTCCTAAGAACTTAGGTAATTTGACTAATATGAGTTATATGATTATACAGAAGGATCATTAATTTATTGTTGACCACTAAATTTTTCCTATGATAATAATTTTGAGAATATTTTTTTGGTTTTATTTATTATTCAATTTATTAATGATTAAATATTTTTTATATCCACCCTTTATCTCTTATAAGGATATCAAATTTTCATTAATATGTTGTAAAATCTATTTAAATAAAATAATTTTTTTTCAGAAATTAGTTAATTAAATTAAATACTAAAAAAATGTAAATGAAATATGCTTTAATATAGGGCTGATTATATTTCCATGAATAAAAAGAATACCAGTATGCGATTTGACATTATTTATAATTACCAGGCATTGTAAGTACTGTAATACTGACTTTTGCAGTATTTGCAATATTAATAAAATTAATAAAAATTCAGAATTAAAGGTATTTATTGAGTTTTGGTAAATACTTATTTTTAAAATTTTAATATTCTAATAAGTTGATTACACTTATTTTTAGAATAGTATTTAATAATTTTAATTAGTTAAATAACACGTAACTTTTTGGATAATTAAATTTAAATATGGGATTTTTTAATATTGTGCTTTCATTGAAAATTGGCAAAAATATAATAAAATAATTTAATTTGATGATCATAAAACTATATCAAATTAACAGTAGTTACAGGTAAACATGATAATTTATCAATAAAATTATAACTATCAATAATAAACAATAATTACCAAATAAAAGAAAGTAATTTTCTATAAATATTAAAATTATCAGTATATTAAATAAAATTGTATTGAAGTTAATACAAATACCTATAAATTTAAAATACCAAGAGCTCTATCATTATATGTTAGTTCATTCAAAATTGGATCAAGATGTTCCACAATAAAATTCAAATGATTATTGTCTCTCTCCTTTGTTCTATCTAATTATTATTTTACTTATAAATAGTTTTAATTTTGTTACTTAAATTACATGTTCTTTTGAACTTTTCAAAATGAACTTCATTTATACAACTTCAATTTAGTTCATGATATTTGTTTAGAAACTATAATTCTTACCTTTATAATAACTCGCTGATCATGTTGTTCATCTAAAATATTATCATTCTGAAAAGCTTCTATTTGCTGACGTATAGATTGTGCTATAGCAGGAACAAAAGGTAATGGATTTAAATCCAAGTCATCACAAAGCACTTCAGCAAACTGCTCTGGAGTTATTAACGACTCTACAAGTATTATTTTTAGTATTTAATATATATTTGATAAAAAAAAAAATTTTTTTGAGTACCATTTTTGTTCCATGTAAATGTATCTCTTAATTTTTGTCCTTCAATTTCCATATCAAGTCTAATTGGAACTAATAGTTCTGTTAAGTTGGCATTTTCATGAATATTTGCTGGATCATTGTCATCATAACTATTGAAATACAAAATATTGAAATATGGTTGAACATCAAAATAAATAATAAATTATATGCATAAAAATAATTACCATAAAGGAAATGTTCTAATTTTCTTTTGAATAATTCTATTTCGGTTAATAGGTGTAGCTTGTGGAACAGCATCTAAATGAGAACTATTTGGTAAAGATGGAACCCAAGGTGTAGATTTTTTGCCTTTAGCTTCTCTATAAAAAAAATTATCTAATTAACTTATATTAATTAATTATCTTAATAATTAACTTATAAATTTATGAATATTAAGTAAATAAAATGCATGTTTAGTTATAGTAATTTAATTACAAATTTTAAACATATATTTTTACCTAGCTATTAATGGTTCAGTTGATGTAACTGATACAGCTTTATATCGTTCATCATTACCATCTATAATGTCTTCAACTTCTGAAGCTCTTAATAATGAAACACTAGAAGCCAGACAGTGAGCACTCAATCCTACATAAAATAAATTAATTTTATTATAAATGGAAAATTTTGTTTGCCATAGTTTAATGAGTTACCAAGATCCATTAATCGCTTTCTTTCATCATTAGTTATCGTTCTTCTGAACATACCAGGATAGCGTTTGTACAAAGACCCCCGAAAGAGCCGCAGGTAATTACCAACCTATAATAAAATTTTATTTATATTATTTCTATATTTCTCAGATAAGCCGATAAATATTATATACCTCTGATCCAATACAATAGTATTCGCCATTTTCTTCCACCTGAAAACTAATTGGTTTATCTCCATATGTTCTAATAGCCATGATTTACAAAATAATATTACTAATAGATGTAAATAACATTAAATTAAAAAAGAAAATTATTGAAAAATACAAAAATAAAATGGATGTTAATAATTTTTATGTCTAGATTATAACTTCAATATTAATTCTTTGAAATAATAAAATGATAAACCACCACTTCTATGACTAAAGTTTAGAATTTATTTAAGTCACTTTTTGTTTAGATTTAACAAGAAATAAGAAAGCTAACATAAAAAGTCGCTTTATGTTCGATATTTTATTGATTATTTTAATTCCTAATAAAATTGTTATGAATTGTTACTGTTTACTGTTTAAAGAATTGATAATAAGAAACCATGGTAATGGTTAACTGTAGAATATTACATTGGTATCACACACTTAAGTCCCCTATCAAATAGTTCCCCAAAATTAAAAATGATGAATTTGCAAGGACATTTGAAAAGTTTGAAAATAGTTGGTTAACGTATTTGAAAAATCTAAATGCCGTTATTATATTTAATAGGTACTTAAATCTAGAAAATCATTTGTGCAGATTTAAGTGAGTATAATTTTTGTCTATTAACTTAAAAAATAGGTATTCATAATAATTAATATTTTTTTTTCTTTTATGGTTTATTGTCAAGAAAATCTAGTTGGCTACAGAAAAAATGAACTGTAAAAAATTAGTAAAATTAATATGGAAGTAATTTTTCATAGAGACTATTGTACATAATATATTATTATGTCTATAAAGTAATACCTCAGTACAGAGGTGTCGTGGAGCGTATACGCGGGTATACGACGTATACCCACTGTTAGTTTTCTTACTAGTGCATATACGTATTTATAAAATAGTTAAAGAGTATAGACTAAAGAATAAAATAAAAAGTAATACGTGGGTATCGAATATAGGTATGTTTGTCATAAAACACAAATTTTGAATAACTCTTATCAGTTTGTTTAATCTCTACAGTCATACCACATATAAACATATGTCTGAAGTTATAAACACACAAATATGGCTCGAGACTATTATCATTTTAAAAATAGAATGTAAATGTAAAACAAAATACTGTCAAAGTGTATAAATCAATATCAATAAAATAAATAGGATAATGTTTATCATTTCACGACAATTTTATTGACATTTGACAAAATTTAAATCATAGACCAGAAATTAACGATATAGCACATACTAAGTTAAAACTGAAAGTTATTGGGTTAACCTATAGCTGTTGAAATTGGTAATTTGTATTTTTCCGTAATAAACCGTTTACCAACCAATCTAGTATTTAATATATGACCTATAATGAATTAAGATAGTGCTAACATGTACCCATTCACGTTTATTTCATTTATGTTTTAACGATTTGAAAACAATGATTGTAAGATTATTTTATTACTGCATAAAGTTTATTGTTTATTTACAAAAAATATAACAGTATCTAATAATACACTTATCGATTATATGACTATGAAATTTAATTTATGTAAGAACTTAGAAGTGTCAGTAAAAATATTCGAGTAATAGTTTGGAAGTTGGAAGGAGCAAGGCCGTATCTGGGAGGGTTAGGAGTTTTAGTTGCATTATGTAATAATTAGAAAATACATATTTTTAACACAGTTAAAACATCACAATATTTGTATTCCGTCCCCCAAAACTATGTTATAGTTAAGGCCTTTGAAAAGTAGTGTGGGGGTGAAATTCCCCACGTTTCCTCATTTAGGTTTTTAACTTATCTATTGATCAAATTACGACTATATCACTGTTGATAATGTATAAAATTAAAAGTTCAACAAAATAATTGTGAAATATTGTATGTAGAAAATATAAAGTGCAATGGGGGGTGTGTGGGGCGGAGCCCCCCACGTTATTATCAATTCATAATATAGGCGTATACCCATAAACATTTTTAGGACTACACCACTGCCTCAGTATCATATGATGTATAGATCATAATATAATACCATCTTTATAATGGTGGTTGCTAAACTATGGCGAATATTTTCAAAAATATTATGTTACATATAGATTTTATTAATCAATAAGTTATAGTATCCTACATTTTTAAAATTATTGCTTAATTATCTTTATGACTTCAAAATTGTATCAACTCCAGCTTTTTCAATGGCTTACAAATAAGATAATTAACATACTAAGAAAATAACTGACTGCCGGCCGGTAACTTTGTACCATTATTTTATAAGTTATTAATATATTTATAAATATTTAGTAGGAGTAGCATAGTTTAAAAAGTATCTTTTGAAAATAATCAAACCTGCGCTTTATTTACTACAATTATTACAAAGTATACAGGCCCTTACTGTTCAGGTTTACAAAAAAATTAGAACGGATAAAAAATAGGGATGATATTTAAAAAATAATTCTTCTTTTCCAAAGTGATTAACAAAAAAGAGTTTTTAATTCATAAGACATGTTTAAAAAAAATTAAATTTTATTTATTACTTTTCAAGATATTACGTGTGACATTAAAATCAATACAAATTATTATAATTAATACATTTCCTTTCTCGTTATTATTGTTAAATCAATTATTTTTTTAGGCGTCTCTGAGCATTAGTGCAAGCAGAAAATGATTTTTTTTCGCCATATTTTCATAAAATTACTATAAAAAAAAAATCATCAAAATAACTGGAAGGCTGAAGTATACCTAGATTCAACATTGTTTTGATAATAATTCATAGACAAATATTTTTAATGTCTTATTGTAGTTTCCCAATAAAATCGTGCAAATTGTAAAATTTTAGTTGTTAAAATAAAACTAGATGGCGACACAAATAATTCAATATTACAGTACATATCCTACACGTAAGACAAAAATAAGAGCACTGTATAACAATAATTAAAACAACACTTTTAACTATAGCTTAAATCCTTTTAACAACTAAAATAGGCGTTTTTAAACATTTTGTAGTGTCAAATCATATTTCTACAAATTCATACTTTCAGATTTATCTGAAAAGATAAAATTGAAGGTTTTATAACCCTTCAATTTTTTAAAATGACCTCAATTCAGATATTTTATTTATTGAAATTATTGGAACTCAAAATAAGTTTCCAAGCCAATTGGTCATTTTTAGAAAAAATATATATTCTTACACTCTTAATAAAAATCTAAATGTATATACATAATTTGTATGCAATATATGTTGTTGAAGTTTTTAACGCATTTATGCTAGAAAACTCTTGAATTGTTAATTAAAAAAAAATATATTATTCATTTAACAAAAAATTTATTTTGATCATTCGTATAAATTTATAATTTATTGTTATTACCGGAGGGTTTTTTTAAGTGTAATCTTAAGGGGTATAGTCTTGAACGGAGCAAAAATGTTGTTCCAAATCAATTTCACCTATCAGATTTCTCATTTAATTTACACAAATAAATACTTTTATGAGTAGTTTAATCAATTTTAAATATAAGGATTGTACTATATTTAAAAAGTTGCTATGCATTTCTTACAAAACGGCTCATTTTGTTTTTTATCAGAAAATTAATTGTAATATCCGATTGCAGCCCGCACCGACTAGATTTTGGTTTTTTGTGATTTTGTATTTAGAAATTTTTATTAAGAAATTGGATTAATTATAAATAGCTTTGTTGTAAAAACCAAACATATTTTTATGTACGTTCTCTTTAAATTTTCTCAGAACAAAAACTAAAAATTTGCTCCATTTTAGATCACGTTAAAAGCATATTATTAATTATTTATTTTTATTAATAAATAAACAAACAAATATTTTTTTTAATTATTAATTCTTTTAAAATTTTTAAATAATCACTTTTTTGTAGCTTTTCGTACAAAGAATTTTGATGAGTCGATAACAACTTTAGGTTAATTACATAATATATTAAGTTATAATAAGGTGTTCAGTAAGTAAGGAAACGTGTTTCTATTGTTCGCATTGTTTGTAACAATTTTCCTTACTTAATGAACCTCTGTATATTTTACTCGATTATTGAGAAGCATTTTAATTTATAGAGTGGGTATGAAGCGGATAGGTTAGCTCGTATATATTTATACGTGTACTCCGCCCGTTCTATATACTGAATATATGTATTAAAATGCTTATAACTGAATAACTCTTCATCCTAAAATTGTTATCAACCCATCAAATTTTTTTTTTAAAAACCTCTTAAAAATGGTTATTTTTAAAAATTTTTAAATAAAAATAATTAATTTTTAGTTTTTTTATCACTAAAAATAAATAATAAAAAATATTATTTCATGTAATCAAAAATCAATACAATGTATTTTGTTAAAAATTGAAAAAAAATCTTTTAAATAAAAATAATGAATTGCATGTGAAACAATTAAAATATTTTTAATAGGGCCTTAATTTTTAATTTGTACCCTGGAATTTTAAAGGTATGCTAATAATTATTTTTGTACTCGGGGTCAAATTTTGAAGTCACATCATTGATCATAAATATGAATTTAAAAATTTAATATTAATTTTATAAACTTATATCTACAATTTTAATACATTAAATATTTTATGTATATTTAAACTGATTCTATTCGTACAATTTAGAAAGTATGTTAATTTATAAAAAATGTATGTATTGGAGGTACTAAGATAACATTTGAAATACAATTTAAAAGGCAGTGTCAAGTTTAATTTCTTTATTCTCTAAAAAGTATTTTTAAAGTAATATTAGTTTATGTTAATGTTTTTTCTTATTATGTACATGTGATGTACAAAGGTAATTCTTGGTGGTTTTTGGTGTGGAAGTTTGTTAATTACATACTTATGATTACTTAAATTAGAACTGCAAGTCTTGTTTTTAACTACCAGATTTATTCAAATAAAATTACATAATTTTAGAGGGCAAAATACTTTTTTATAGGTTTCAGTCTATTTCTACCTCTGCTTCCTAAAATTTAGAAAATAATAAATTGATTTATTTTGAAATGCATGTTTCAAGTGAAGCGACAAATGACGTTGAGATGGGGTTTAGAGATAAATAAATGAGAAATATAATTAAGTTACAAAGGTTTTTAGGGATAAAGTTTTTTTTTTTTAAATATTTGAGATAACAATACAGTAACACACAAAATATATGTGGATATTTACATGTACGCTCAGCGGGCGCCGCTCGACGGTGGGGGTGAGTAATTGGCCGAAAAACGTTTCCGGGTTAATAGCGTTGTGGACGCTCAACGGGTGGCCAACAGTTTGTACTATAAACGTGCGTATGTGTAAGTGTACAAGAACTTTAAAAACCCATTCA